TGCATGGTAATTGTGTCGTCTACGTTGACATTGCTCCACCACCAGCCTGAGGGGATGTAAAGTATCTCCCCTGCCTCCTGTAGACATTCCTGTGGTTTGTGTTCATCTTGTAACTCAGGTTTAGTATAAATCCACCAGGTAAATGACTCAGACTGCTGAGAATTCTGTGTTCGATGATTATTGTGATTTACTCCTAAAGGACGATTAATTCAGTTCTCATTTGTAACCTGATTAAGGGTATTTTCAGATTATATCAAAATATTATCCGACATTAAGATGATAATAATGGATACACATGTCACCTGGGTATGTGTTTGAATTTGACATCAAATTCATTTCACGCACTCATCAGAGAAATGTGTAACAATTACACCGCCGGAAAATTATAGTTCAAATCGTTAGATCAATGGATTTCAAGGGTTAAGTGAAATGGCTAAGAACTTACAACTTTGATGCTTTTAAAGGCTAGACAAAGGGTTTAGTTTTTGAAATTTATGTTCATAACCTTAGAAAGTCAATGACCGTAGGAGAAGGCCACAGTCTGCTTTGAAGCCGCTGTCCAAAATTTAACCCTTTAACTCCCAAGATCTCATTAGCAATTCTCCTTACTGTCTACCATACAATTCTTGTGATGTTAGTATGGATAATTTGGTATTGGATCAACTTATAATCCCCTAATTGATATTTTTCTTTATTCTCATCACTGGTCTGCTTGATATTGTATTGATATTGTAAGGAGAAATTCTGTCTTGGTCACTCTTGTGAATTAAAGGGTTAAGACAGGGAAGGAACCTATACAAGGACTAGGAAGAAACGTTTAGACGAATTTGACCACCCCATACAAAGCAGTCAAAAGGAAGACAGAAGACAACTGAACGAAAAAAAAAAGAAATGTAAAGCACCTGGTACATAATACTTTGATGGTGGATAAAGACCCCAAAGCTTTTTGCCTTGTATCAGAGCACTCCATAATGAGGCATTTAGTGCCTCTACGCGCCAGTGAAAACCAGATCTTGTTGGAGCCATCTCAAAAGAAAGCTGGGGAGGACGAATATCTTCGTCTACAACTTCCTGAATATTTAAAAAGATGAAGCGATATCTCGATAATAAAGAATGGTAGATAAATGAATTCTCTATTAAGGGGATTCCACGACCAAATCAGTTTTCTTTTCTAGAGAAAAAAGGCTGGACAGCATTGTCTACTCATGATTTAGATCGCAAAAGATACAAGTGTTAATAATACCTTTGTATTAAGATGGCCATTGACAAAGGACGAGATTAAATATTTCGTCCAGTGGCCTGCAGCTAACATAGGTTCGAGAGAATACGATTATGTGAACCTTCATTTGAATCACCATTTACAGGCAGTCATTAAGGTTTTTATCTTAAGGACCTTGCCGCTTATGTCTCCCAAAGAATTTAACAAACAAACAAAGTAACAGGAATATTAAAGAAACGATCGCAAAAAAGCTTATAGACCAAAAACACCCAAACGTACACATATATAAACAAAACAAAACAAAACCAGCCAAGAGACAAAACATAAGAAAGTAGAAATCAAGAAAATAACTGGACCAGTATTTTTCTTTCGGAGATATATTGGTTTTCAACATGCATCTGAGTTCGAATAAGAATCTTCTAGTCCAAAACCGGGCTACTGACCTCAAAATAGTCTTTAGAAAATTTCGGGAAATTTATTGCATCCATAAGCTCAGGGTAAATCTGATGGAAATCTGTCATAATCACTTGGGCTGGATCTTTGTACATGTCAGCAAACAGTGCACGAAATTCGTTCCACTGTGAATAGGGAGTGGTATTCTCCATGATGTCAACCTTCACTCCTTTAGTGAGGATACTACCTGCAAGGAAAGTCATTAAGTGTTTCCACATCAATGTGACTAGTTTAATCAGTGGATGCGAATTTCTAACACCAGTGGAGCATAACTTGGCCTATGACTCCCAAGATCTAATTCGTTAGTACCTTCCCTTCTATGTTGTTCAGCTGTTCTCATTCATTTTCAGTAAAGGGGGGAAATTTCTTTAAAAAATTGCGGTGCTGGATCGGTGGGGGACTGTAACAAGATAACTTGGTTTTGACATCTGAGTTGATAATGTAAATTGGCCGAAGTGAAGAGTTTTGACAGTTCGAGCGGTAGTCCTTCGCTCCAACGGAAAGATCTTTCCAGCTTCCTGGCAGCGATTATTATCAGAACGATAACATCTGTAATACTTATAGAGTCGTGTACTATCTAACGGGAGAAATATTTGTTGTGTTTTGGCACTCGCCAGCTAAATTGCAGTTGTCCTCACCGAGTTTATCAAAACTCCAGGATTTCATTGCTTCCCAGTTATCCATCATTCCTGTTAAAATGACAGGCTTTCGAGGCTTCATATACTGCTCCACAAATGTCTCTTTTGATGGTCGATGGACGCGTTCGATTGCGCATTGTAATTGATCTGGGTCATGTCTAATCCGCTCAGACATGTATTTAAAGTAGAGCCGTTCTCGCTCCGTGCGCTTTTGTCGGCGCAGCTCATGCGGTAACCTGCGTTGGACAGCGGACCTCTCATTGTTCGTCGCGTTACCAGAAAAGGTAAGTGTTTCTTTCATTTGAGGAGTATGTATCGGGGAAAACGCGTCAAAATCAGTATCTTCGGCATGTCCAATCTCTAGTATATAGGAAAATATACCTTTTTAACATATAAAAACAAGTGAAATTCAAAGTGAGCTTTCGCGCGAAAACATGATATCTTCACACGTGAAGCTAACATGTTATCTTCACACGTGAAGCTAACATGTTATCTTCACATGTGAAAAGATCATCATTACGTTGTTCTACTTTAACAAAATATTACAGTGAAATAATTTAGAGTTTCGTTTGTGTATAAATGATAAATAGAATATTACATGGCCGCTTGGAGATACGAACTGTCTTCTCTCGTGTTAGTTATGTGAGTTTTATAAGTAATGTTAGAATTCTATATAATCGTAAGTAGTATAGGTAGTACTGTACTATGTAGAGTAAGTATTTTCAGTAGAGTATGTTTCTTTAAGTTGTACTGTGAGTATTGTAAGCAATACTAATACTGCTTAATGATGATAATAATAATAATAATAATAATAATAATAATAATAATAATAATAATAATAATAATAATAATAATAATAAAGAAAACACGAAAAACAACACCAGAAGGGAAACTTCGTATCTCCAAGCGGCCGTGTGATATCCTCTGTAACTGTACGACCTCTCATAATTATTAACGCTGTTTGTCATCGGCTTCCTTATCGTTAATGTTTCAGATGTCGGTTACTTTCTCACTAAGGAGGAAAATAATACAACATCACTTAATTATTTCGTTGACTGTTCTCTTGAAAACATAGTCAACAGTAAAATTACAAGACAAAAATAACAGTAGATATGTTGAAGCTTTTTGACAGACTACGGTGTAAGTTGAGGGTGAAGGTTTATGCTAAATTTCTAATTTTTAACTGACGAATCAATCTATTCTTATTGGTCGGAAAAGGCTGGTAGAAAAAAAATATATTTTAGAGTTTCCCATCATAAAATGACGTCTGCGAATTAATAACAATATCAGTAGAAAAATAAAAACTATATACAACAAGTGAGCTTATGTTGAGAACGTAAATTTCCGTTCTATTTTGTGTTTTCCGGAATTGATAATAAACCAATAAAATTTTCCTGTTATTTGACCATCAATTGCACCAAGTTATCTCAAAACTAGCTGGCCTTATCCTCCTCACAAAGATGACTATTTAGTTATAAACAGTCAAAGAAATGAAGCTTATGTTAAAATAATCTGCCACTGAAGAATTGTTTGCCGTAATGACAACAGTTACAAAATACAACCTACACTACAGCTGGGTAAACACGGTAACGGCTGCTGAAAACACTTTGTTATAAATCCACGTTAACGTTTCTTACCTTTAGTGGTCCTAATAAAGAATGAATTGCTCCTACCACAATTTTCAGGAGCGCTGTTCTCACAAATTTTGATCACATAATCGCCGTTTTGAATTGTTGGTGGAATAAGCCAAACATGACGCATGCTTCCCTCTTTAAACTCGCTTAGTCCCGTTGAAATCTGTGCGACTTTTCTCTCTTCAATATCCAACAGTTCTATATTCCATTTGAAGCAGAATTTCGACTGAGTCCATGTGATAGGGTAAGAGTGTTGTCCCGATATCCACATGGCTCCTCTCACAGGCTCAATCACAGTTATATCATTCTTTGAATTTAGAGCGCCCTCACACAACCGAGACGGAACAACTAAATATATTACAAGCGCAAGATATGTTATTAGTTTTTCGATGAGCATTTTCGAGCCACAGTTCTTAGTTGGCTTCAGATGGCTCTAACCACGTAGGAGATAATTATGGCAATTACTAAGATGTGACAAATGATAGTAATGGTATCGAGTTTACTGCATGTGACACGTGTTCCACTCTGAGAGACAACTAAGTATCCCATATTATATTTTAACACGTCAAATCAAGGATCAAAACAAATATAAATAATAATGTTTCGCGTCTTGGAAGGAAATCATTCTTAAAATGTTTTGAAGGCATATGCTAAAGTCCTTTTTGTTGATAAAATGGCAATGTGCTCCTCTTCCATTTTGTTCCAGGTTAACACTCCTTATTTTATCTGTTAGGTTTTTTTCCCTTTGATATCAGACTGGCCATCATTCAACACGTTGTAATTTTAAGGCATCATGAGTAAAATATGTATATTATATCTGAAATAAATGTTTGCACAGGTGACAACAAGGTAAATATAGCCTTTGAGCAATGCAAATTTCTACAAACTAACCAAACTTTACTTTGAACCTAAAATGTTGATATAAATGATGGAGAAGATAGCTTGTCATCAATTAAAGGTAATCGCTACCTTATGAGCCGTTGCATCGTGTATCAGGCCATACAACATTTTGTGTGCCATTTTGCGGGTGTAGTGATCGTGTACTATGAAAATGAGTCGTGAAGACGCTCACTGGGGGAGTACTTTGATTATAATTATTGCAACGCAAAGTATCAATTGACAAGGAAGTGATAAAAAAAAAAAAAAATTGGCACCCAATGGGTACAAGAGTCTACGGTGCTCTATGTTTTTACACTGGGTCTCAAATATCTTATTAAAAGGCTCTAATATCCTCTTAGAAGGCTCATTTCCCTAAAAGTGGACTTTCTTAGGCGTCGCTTTTAGTTAAAAAGGTCCCCTAAATACAAGGCAAACCCATAGAGGGTTCATTTTGCAGAGTTAAAGGCGATGCAGCAGGAAGCATCGAGGGTGATGTGACTCATGATACCAGTGATGCGGCCTTGACATGTCACCAGTTTGTCGAAAACTGCTACTTAAAACCGGAAAAAAACACCAGAACTAAGCTTAGCCATCTAAGTAAATAGGAAGATGAATGTTGTGATAAAGGTAACGATTGCGCAGCTAAAATCAAAACTACCACTTCCTTAATGAAATTGAGCTCGACCCTTAGAAAAGAACTCACAAACAAATGATGCGAACTGTGGGCCACTGAACTCTGAAAATGAATTATGAAGGGGTGAAATATGGAGGCCACTGAATTAACCTCTTATTTTGAAACTTTTGGTCCGCACCCAGAAAGCACATTATCAGTCGCAATTTCACTTTTCTTAGTTGGCGCAATGGATTGTGCTTCTGATGTGTTCAAAAGAACATGTTTTTTCTCTTTTAACTCGGAACATCAGCTTTTTCTGAGCAACTGTCAGATTCCATCATTGATATTCCATCATTGATATTGTGTTAAAATGTAACGAAATGTAAGACGGGTTGTTGTCCTAGAAAGAACTATATGTATCCAAGCACCTTATATTTTTTTAAACCTTGGGTTAGCCCTAGCTTATGCACGCAGTCTTAATACAAATCAATTTCCGTCCATAAGTGAAATTTTCTGCTCTGAGATCTTAGCTTTCGGTTAAATACATGCTGTTGCTCAGCAGAATGTTAAACATTTTGACCAATTCTTCGCTATCAGTGAAGGCCCATGCAGGAATTTGAAGTGATAATGCAAAAGCCTTATACGCTAACGGACTTACCCAAAAGTTAAACAGGGCCGTAGCTAGCATGAGGCAAGACGAGGGGGGCATGCCCTAATACCCCTATACCCTCCTAGCGGCTCGCGCCTCCGACGCTTGAAACTTGCCTCGTCTTCTTCTGAAGTCTGGCTACGGCCCTGGTTAAAAAGAGGAAAGAAGAAGTAAAAAGAAGGAGTGATTGAGCGAAGGATGTAAGGAGTGAATTTTGAGTACTAACAACAACTCAGAAGTTTTCTTTCAGCCATTTTCCCAAACGAGCTACTGTAACCACGTTTGCCTAAGTAAGGCCACTATGAATGATAGGATTGTTCACAGACGGACTCACAGGCGCGATAACAAGGAATCTACGTCTTAGGCACCGTAGACTCAAAAAGGAATTTTCGAAAGAACAGTGAAATTGAAATCAACCGAGTATCATGAGACTCCATCTAAAGGCCAGATCGGTAACTACCTTAAACGCTAAATATGATACTGCATGCTTTGTATGACTTGAAACACTTATCCATATTCGTTGGAAATTAAAATGTTCCTTTCAGAATGAAAAGTTTTAAATTCTGACAGGATGCAGGAGTTTGTGTAAAAAAGCGAACACGTGCGCTAGAACTAGTGAATACAATGTAACTGTCTGTTTGATATATTGCGCATCATCAAAATACAAAGTTTCTTCTATGTCATCTCTTGACCTTTTTTCATGGGCATCAAATTGAAGTGTCATCTTCTTCACTTTTCCAATATTCTTCGTATATTTTGAGCAATGAACAGCTACTGCATTTATTTCGCACACAAAAGCCAAAATGATGGTCCACTATCGAATTTAACTCGCGAACTCTCCCGCGTTACAATGGCACAGATTAAAATGTAGCCAACTTGAGATAGTTTCAGTCGCTGTTGACCTCTCTTGAAATCTAAGATAAAAGTTCGTGCGTTTTTGATTTCGCACTCGATAAGAATACCTGCACTGTTGCGTCTACGATTTGGGCTAAGGGGTACACAACACAACAATTTGATTGGACATTTAATTGAAATTTTTTAATGAAATTTTACGGAGTAGGTGCCAAGATTGAGTTAGAAGATATATCATTCCGGCCAATAGACATCTAGAGTTCTTAAGTAAGACTTCTGTATGTGTTTGGGATGGAGACTTAAAAAGTTTGGTAGGATGTGAGATGCGGTCTTCCATGAAAGTGTTCATAACGATTTCTGTAGGAAAGAAGTCTCTCCTCTTAAGTTGCATTATGTTCGTTCTCATGATGTTAGCGGGCTACTCGACAAGGGAGCGGCGTTTCGTTTTCTTTCATGCTGACAATTTTATGAAACTCTCTAGAACTTTATACACAGAAGGGTTACCTGCTGAGTATAAATGTTGCAACTAAAGACCTGTTTTGACCCACATGTCGGCTTGGGTCAGGCCTTTTACGATGTTCATACGATAAACCGAATTAACTTCGTTATTTTACGTGCAACCATAAAATTGTTAAATTAGTTTGTTTTCTAAGTTTCAATTGAAGCATGAACGAAACCTACCGATTGCATCATCTTAATTATGGTTATTTCCCAAACAGCACACAATAGATTCATTAACTTTTTTTTAATGAAAGTAAGCCGACTCAAGAGTCAGTGGGACACTAATTCTAAGCTGACTCGAACGGTTGTCGAAAACGTTAGTTTGTCACATGTAGAACTAACAACATTTCTTTAAAAAAGTCAATATTTCCAATGATTCTTGTATATGTATGCAATGCTCTCATCGAAAATTTCCCAACGAATTAATCCACTTCTTTGTTTTATTGTCACTTATTAGCAACAGAAAGAGCTTAGAGAGCATCAGCTAAAACAAAACTAACGATCAGGCCTGGCCATTGAAAATTTTAGCTAGTTTTATTCGAATATAGGAGGTTCCTGATTTTGGTTGTGGGCTGTCAGAAAACTATTTCCTCTTTACGGTATATCGATTCTAACATAATCCAGATTATTATTATTTTGAACGTCATTCAACTGTTATCTTTGTTTTAACCACAAGAATGAAGAATGAAGGATTGAGAATAAACTATGTCCTTATTCACCACAAACAATGCTATTCTGAGCAGAGGTCAATTTCTCTACATGAGACTCCAAAAATATCAACCACTCTTATTGCTGATAAATATAGCCTATGTAAATTGATTTTTATATTGCTCTGGTAAAAATATCAAATAGACGCAGCAATTCTGGACTAGAAAGTCTGTTCTGCTTATACATCGTCTTCATTTTGCTGAAATTGTGTAACAAAAGTATGAATTTAATCAAGGCCTTCTCTTTTAAGAAGGTTCGAGGTGTCTTCGTAAACTTCAAATGATCCGTGCAAACCTGACCTTGGAAAACCCATCATTGAAACCAAACTTTAAGCCATCATGGTCTTAGGACGCGTATTGCTTTTTAAAAAAAAATTGTACCGATTAACAGAAGGATTGCAAAGGTACCCAAAAACTCAGAAAGGGGGCCGTGCCGTCTCAATTTATCCACATCTTTAGACACTCTTGATCACAAGGTTAGCACTTGATGGCGTGATGATCGCCGATATAGATTCATAAAGACTCAATGAGGTGTAAACAATTTCTCTGCATGTTTACACCAAAGTCCCTCTTCCTTGAGGCAATTCGTCCGTGAGCTATCGATTGCACTAGTAAACAACGAAAGCAGCCCCACAAATAGAGGACAAGTTACACTACGAATATCAAGAGCAGTTACCATGAACTTCATGTTAGAAGAACTGATATCAGTTGGTCAGGTCGTGTTCCTCTGCCTTCTGCAGTTTGGTGCGTTTCTTGTTGGAAAAGCAATATGGCAAAAGAATGCTTCAAATTTGCCTCCGGGACCTTGGGGTATTCCAATAATAGGTGAGACTTTTCAAACCCATTTCCGTGCTTTTAGTTCGTCTAGATATTTCAAAACGTGCGTACACCCATCTATGCAGTTTTAGGAGTTCGGTAGGTAAGGCCAGTTCCTGTTTGACCAAAAAGAAAAAAAAATTATCAAACTGACCAGAGGTGTTCAAATGTCTCGTGAACTTTGAGTATGACAGGATTATTTGTTAAGGACTTCACTTTTCCTATCACTCCCAGAGAGGAAGGTAACATCTACGATATTAATATAAAGTTTATCCGACAAAACTGTGATGGGGGTAAAAATAAACTTCCTTCTCTCATCATAATCGATGAGGCTCATTTACTAGAAGATGTTGACTTGATATAGCCACCCAGAGTTCTCTCCACTGGCTAATTTAAAAGGAGATGTATGGCAGCCAATAGGAAGAGTTATGGATGAGATTTTTTAGAGTGTTCTTTCTTAAGCAGGTGCGAAATCAATTAGCAGCGAGACTAAACCCTTGTTGTATGGGCTTATTCTAAAGTAACATAATTACCGGTCTAGAACGTTCTCCTATTTTATTAGATGTAATATTGTACATTTCATTTGTCTTTATTAGATCGGGAATATAATCAATACGATTAAGCAGTTTTTGAGGTATCTACGAAGCCTTCTCGGCAGTCTTCGCGTGCGATCGAAGTGAACGTTGCGTATTTTTAGCCGCTTATTAATAGCTTATATAAATGGATGTTGATGAAGCATCGTAATATAAAAACCATTATTTTCCATAACTTTAAAATACCTTTGTATCCAAAATCATTTTTGTGCGTTACTTTTTCATTTCTGCAGGTTTACTGACAGTGAAATGTGTTGATTATTTGCTAAGGAGGTGTACGTGACGTGAAATTCGATTAAGTTAGCATCTGACTTTCCTAATGACTTTCGTACTGAAAATGACTTGTAGCCACTTGATGATATATACTGATCAGTTAAGCGGGAAAAATAACGAAGTTGGAGAAGTTATTTGGTTATTTATCTTGGCGTGCTTTAGTTACACCTTTTGATGTTTAAAATACTGACTGCACCATGTTCTGTAGACATTGTTTACACGATATCTATCAATTGGTGACCTTCTGTAACTCTGGAAACACGGCATATGCCTTTAACAAGGAGATAAATTTTAACGCGTAGCTAAGAAGCGAACTCAGTTGAACTATCAAAACCCATATTCTTTTGATGAGCGTTTGCTAAATATAAAACGTCAAAGGAAAATGCAAGGGCTTCGCCATAACTCGGTTGAAAACCAGATACCGCCTAAATGGGGATCAATCAACCGTTTTCAACGTCTGCTCCTGCTAAAAACATAAACCACGCGCAAACCGCAAGTCGGTGACCTTCTCCTTGGTAAACAGCAAATCAAAACCTTATCATAAATGAAACGTCAAATAAGTCTCGTAATGTTTGCACAATCCAATATCGTGTTAAACGATCATATATACAATCAGCTAAGTAGTCAGTAGCTGATCAACGTCACCAGGGATGGCATTTCAGTTCCAACCTGCTTAAACTTCTTAATAATGTTTGGAGACCACTACTGTTAAGCTTTTCGTCTGACCCTGATTGTGTCCAAAAATTATTTTGGCTGCTAATTTCAGGATCGAAGCACGTGCTTTGACAAAAATAAAACAAAGTAGCAGCCCAAAATACAGTGACCTTGCTTTGTTTCAGTGCGATTCATATCCCATGACTATCATGGATTTCATATCGCAGTAAAGCCGACAACATGGGCAGATGTTTCATACCACTGAGCTAACATAAAGGCGAGAAGACTGTGCAGCATGTATGTATAAACTTAAATAAGCAGTAAATTGTCAGTCCGAGTGTTGGCAACTTTCTTCAGGGAAGGTAGATATCGAGGTTAGTGACCAGTTTAGAGATGTATTTCACCTAATCATATCCTTGATTGGTGAAAAGAGTAAATAACATCATATGACATTGAAATACTCTAGAAATCTGACACAGCCGAAATCTATACCCTGAATTTATTTGAGCTTGGCTGAAAATCTTTTTTCAGGGATCGTTTGCCACGTTCAAACCCAGCAGATCTTTTCTAGCTCGTTTGCCGAATTGTAAATACATATCAAGCTGTTTCCTATCCCAACGAGCAAGCTGCAAGCTACTAGATTTCTCCTGGGAAGTAATTCACGTCTTTATTTCGCCAAAGTCACACTAAAATAAGAAGACATGCGTGGCCTCATGCTTGGATATCGTTTACTGATTGTGTCATATGAACTCGATGCTATTCTGGGAGCCCGTATCAAAGACTCTACGGCTTTTACCGAATGGCCATGATCCTCACGCAGCCTTATGCTAACTGCTGTGTCTTCAGCAATTTGGAATTCTTAAAACAATCGTAAGCTGGATAAGCGTCGCGTGATGCTGAACCACTAGTTCCTGTCTGCCTCGTGTCTAGAAGTACAAGAGGCTTCACCATGATCTTGCAATTCGTGAAAGAAATATCAGCTTTGCATTTTTGAAAAACGTGGCTGGAATCACAATTACACTTGGCTCAGAGAACGAAGCTCAAGCTGCAGAAGAAAAACTTGTTAACACTCTGTAGGTCTCAAATTTGCCACAAACAACATTATTGTTGATGTCTTATACGACTTTATCTTTCAAAAGGGCGTTAAAAAGGTTTTTAACATACTGTTTACTCGAGTTACATCTCTGTACAAGAAATGAGGAGTGATAGCAGTACAGATTTCCTGATTTCGTCAAAGCATCGCCCAAGCAGAATCCTTTCCGGTCTCGAAATTGTATCGAAGGTGTCGATAGAAACCGTTCGAAGGGTGTCTGGGAAGAACAAATATACCTATATTACGCCAACGTAGTCAGGAAGGAAACGATGTAGGAGAAAGAGAAAAGTTTATATAAACAGTGTGAACTTTCCTTGAATTGACCCTCGCTCAGCGACAAGTTAATCGCATTTGAGCCTTGCTAGTGTCTTCGGGGTAGCTTCGACACTACCACCGTAGCCATTTACCGGAGTGATGTGACATATTTATTCAAATATACTGAAAATAAATACCAACAGTATGCAATAAGACAATAAATTGATCACCTAGTACAGTATGAAGAGCGTTCGATAAGAAAATTTCATTGAAATTTTGTCGCTCAAGTTCAGGTCATAACAGTAAACCAAACCCTTCGGAATGGGTCAATATTCTTTAGCAACCACAAGAAGCAATAAAATAAGCGGTTTACCTTTGTGGTCAATCGAAGGTTCTTTATCCAAAAGCACTATTTAATCGCCAAGCAACGTGGATGATGTTCTGACATTCCCAAACCATGGCCAAGCTCTTCAGCAATGCAACCGATTTGAGGTAGACAGTGAAATCTGGTTTATAATACAGATACTTTTCCCGTATAGTGAAATATTCGGTCTACGAGACAAACCCAAGTAATTCATTAAGTACGCAAATGGAATGGTCACGACATCTTTCGGCGACAAAATCAGTACTGCTTTTTCTCGAAGTTGCTTAACAATGTTATGGCCCTCCAATACTAAGATCAAGAATTTTTAAAGACTTTGATCAGCAAAAAAAGACTGAATACTTCTCGTTTAAGATAAAGGCATTTAAAATCTATTTTCGAAGCACATTCCCACATGTAAGTTGATAAGGGTAGCGATTCTTATCTCTCAACAGTTAGATGGCTTAAGTAGCCTACATCTCAACCAAATTGACATTACATGCCTGATATAGATTTCCTTTTTCAAGGGATACAATGGCAGTTTTTGATAAAATCAGGTTTTTCTTGAGAGTTTTGTCCTTGAGAAAATATCAGACTTCTTAAAAATAGGGCTATAAAGCTTGCTAATCACCACGTAAGTTTCTCAAGTCAGTCAGTCACTGATAAAGGGCTGTCTGCTGTCTAGTCTCTTCAAGCTTGTGAATTACTACCAGGATTACAATAGCATGTGTTTTCACGAAGTCAAATGTAAAACGTAAATGCCGTCTGATATTATTTTACAATAAAAATGGCTAAGACTGTTAACATATTGTTCAAGAAATCAGCGACCACTCGTCTTGTTTCCATATCGCAATGATCATTTTGTCTAAAAATAGCTCATCTGAACCGTTCGTGTGAACAAAGCAAGACAAAACAAAGCATAAGAAAACCCCTCACGAAGCCTAATAAATCTCTGTCTTTTCTTAGCCTGCATTCTTTTCTATAGAATCCTTTGCTATCTTATTCTTTGTGACGCGACCGAGCCAGGGGTAATTTGATTAAAATCTCTGCCTACGGTGGGAATCAGAAAATAGCAGGCGGCATTGTTAACACTCTTATCTGTAAATAGACTTATAGCGTGAAAATAAGCGACGGCACACGACAGCGAAAAGGGCGGCATTCAACCTTTGACATTTCCTAAATATAACCTCAAAGATTGATAACTCAATTCTCTTTAATGCCTTAACTCCGCTTCACAAACTTGATACTTGTTGGGCTTTTATTTTTCAAAAGCGAAGCGAAAATACACTGCCTTGAGTGACCCAAAGTCAAAAGGCACTTTAACATTGATCTCGCATTAAGAAATCTTTATTTGACCGGTAAAAAATACATAACTCTGCAGAAAGCACCGCTGATCAATTCGATGAAAATTCACCTTTATCAACACAAAGATTATGGCGTGATAATCGCCGACTGCTCGATAAGGGCTCACTGGAGTGTAACACTTAGTTCGCATAATTATGCCCAATCACTACCTCTTGAGATCATTTGAACCTTGATAGGAACAGAAGCAACAGCTTACCGATCAGAAGAATACCTCTTTACCTCAGTTTCCGATGACCACGATGAGTGTTTCATTTGTAGACAGCCTATCAGCTGCACCGATTTTGCTCTTTTGCTTTCTGGCTTGTTTCCTCCTGAAAAGAAAGTCATTTCGGGAAAATTCTTTTTCCAAGTTGCCTCCAGGACCTTGGGGCTTACCAGTGATAGGTAAGGTTATTTACCTTTTGAAATAATTTCAATGTCTATGGACCGGCTTTTGTCGCAAACTTTTCGTCACCTCATGAGGCGCTCACAACGATTCCAGCTCAAAAGTCACAAAAGTTGCTCCTTTCTTTACTTTTGTTGAGAAATAAATAAATCAAAAACTATCTGCTCTCGCAAGTGCTGTATAAATTCTTAAAAACATGGATGAGATCAGAGTAACAAAATGGCATTGATTGATTTCAGCATTGCTTTTAATCAATTTCAGTTAAAGGACTTATTTGAAGTTTTGCAGTAGGGCTTAGTAATGTCGGTATAAGAGAGAGAACATATTGAGTTATATCAATTAGGTTAAGGAGGAAAAAGTGGTGAAAGTGGAAAAAAGGGTGTAGGCATTCGAAGTAAATAATTAATTTGCTTCACATAAAAACCAGTTTATTAGAGTTAACTCTTTGAGGGAAACACTTCTTGTTCTCCAAATTAACGATAACTGCGTAACGATTCAGTAATTATTGGAATTATACACTGTACCCACGCCTTGCATGATAGTAGCGCACGAACAATGCAAGTATTGCGTGTTCTCAGCCGATCGCCGTGACGTGGCTTTGTTCTTGCTCCAGCTAAAGTCATGACCACAAGAAATAATGTATCTGGATGCCTCGGCTAAAATCGTCATGAGTCAATGTATCTTTAAAGCGGTTTCTCTAAACTTCCTTGTATTTAAACGATCCATTGTGAAAATGTGTTGAATGGGCAAAATTAAACCTCAGCGTTCTCTACCTTTGTAATGCTGATTGGGGCTGTTGGAAGAGCGAAGAAATCGTGTCATGCGGTAAAGGATATCTAATTCATGATCAAAAACGCCGTTTTGGGGCAGGTGATAGGACTGGATTTGACCCAGAGAAAGATAATATACTTATTTGATATTAACCTTCGGAGTTTTGCTTTGAGCTTTAGCTTGTTACGTTTCTAGGTAGCTTGTGATGCACGGATGGCGCTTTGAAATCAGTCGAAATAAAGTAATCTTATCTCATTTTAATAATGATAAAAAAGAATAAAGTTTCTGATCATCTTTCACAGTAGGTGCCAGTGTTTGAGAAAAAAAAAAAGTGTTCGATTTTTTTGTACCAGTGAGCTCAGATCTGTTCTTCACTTGTGTAGGTACTCAGACCTAGAAACATGGAAAGTTTGAGAACTGTTGTATAACCCAAACGAAATAAGCGGCTCAAAATGCAAAGAATTAAAATTGATGAATGCGTTAAGACCACTTTTTTTTTTTAAAAAAACTGTACAAACTATTCAAACCATTGCTAATGACAATATATAAAAAGTGCGTGGTATAACTGAAGGCGTTTAATTTTGCTGCAAGATTTCGGTGCATACAATTTGGTCCACCACCCTCACCAAGAGAACAATGTTAGGTCTGACCAAGTTTTGATTCAGCCGAGCATAAAAGACACCGCGTTTAAGCCACAAAATGTTTAATACGATCCATTGACCTTCGTTTTAAATGAATCAAAACCTTTAAAACAAGTATCAATTGTCTAGGAAGCTATTTAGTATGCATATGCCATGATCATGGCCTAATGTATGGGACTTCGTTGCGTGTCTTGAGCCTTAGCTAAGGATGACTCAGCGAGGGAATTTTTCTTTAGACCATTTCCTTTTTTTATTAATTATCGGAAAATTCCTTGTATTCGGTATTGATGTCAGGGAAGTATATCATGTACATGCCTGTTTTTGAAGGCTTTGTTAAGTACGTAAGGCGAGTTAAGATGAGGGAGTAGATATCGTTTTCAATCACAAAGCACCTTTCGGACGTCTAAAACATTCTGAAATATCGTGGACTGGCTAGATTGACAGGGTGTACCCTGCTTAGCGAAGATATCCACAGGGCTTAATCGACAGACGAAATTAAACTCTGTATGCTCTCCATTCCTCTTTTTTCACTGAATTAAGTTAAAAGATAGTACTTAAAAGAAAGATATTAGGTGCATCTAATGTTTGGAACGTCAGCTTGCATTTAAATGCCCCATAGCCACACAGCGACAATGTCGGAACTTGAGGCTTGCACGGGGGGGGGTTTTCGACGGAACGAATTATGAAGATCCAGTAAATACTTCCCTGTTCAGTTGCAACGGTGCAAAGGTTAACGAGAGGAGCAGCTATTTTTGGCATTTTTTTAAAAGATCCGTGCAAGGATCAATGAAATTAACAACCGCAAAATTTCATTTCCATTTCGCACAGAAACGCTAGCCGACGTACGAAGCTGATAACCTTTTTGGTCTCCTGTCTTACGCCCGTTCCCGATACAGTAAGTTATGCCTGACGGAATACATCCTGCAAAATGCGTGACTCTTGCCAAGGATACATTTGCCTCGCTCGCTAAAAACCCCCGAGGGCTAAATTATACATTTAACGAAACATAAAGAAGTCAGTTGACCCGTTTCAAACGATTACAGATTTTTAATTTGATATTATCAAGTCGTCATGTGCGCAGCTTCGCACTTCATGTAAAACTATTTCATTCGTTAGAAAAGTCGGCTTAAGCATATCTCTGAATACATAAGGTATCTCAGGGTCCTTCGGAAGTGTTCAGCACTGAAGAAAGATATCTGGATGGCACATTTTCAGTTCAGTGTCAGGTTTAGTCCTTCTTATACGCGAAACACGTGACGGAATGTTTAAGGATAAGACGTAATGCTATATGGTGTGTAGTTTCAGAAATGTTCTAGAACGATAAACGCTTATGCAGGTCATAACTATTTGTTGACAACCTCGGAAACTTTGTGTGCAAGATCGCAGATGTTAGCCGTGAAATTTTCGATGCCACAATGAGAAACAAGATGAAAGTCATGAATGCGTTTTAGTCTCAAGAGAAAACATCGTAGTACCAATGAAGTCAATTTTCAATATATACATGATATTGCTGACTGGTTGTACTTTTTTCGACAAGTTGTATTTATCCAAATTTCGTCGAGGAAGCAATAGTAATGATATTAGGGAAAGATATGGACTTGGAGCTAAAGATAATTAACCTGCTTTGGACACTTTTTTGTTCAATGCCACCTGTGATTAAGGAAAAATAATTCCTCTAGTTAATGATATTTTGGTTAAAATCTTACTCGCTCATGATCACTAAGTGCCTTTGATCTATCAACAGGTGCGTGCTTTCGTGTGGGACGCAATCCTCATGTTGACTTCACAAGAATGGCAGATAAATACGGAGACGTTTTCAGCCTAATGCTCGGAAATCGTTTAGTTGTGGTGCTCAACGGATTAAACGTCATTCAAGAGACAATTATCAAGCACCCGACAGTTTTTGCTGGCAGACCGCAACTGCACACCTTCAACCTTGCCAATCCTCATGGTAACAGTCTCACTGTGGGCGACTACACACCTAATTGGCGGCTCAGTCGGAAGATGATGGTTGCAGCAGTTCACAACTTTGCAAAGAATACAAGTACCTTGGAAAAGAAGCTTTTAAAGGAATCCGAACGCCTGGTCTGCTGCTTAAAGCAACAGAAAGACAAAGCCTTTGATGTCCGTATCACTCTCAAGTTTGCCATAGCTAACATCATTTTCAATGCGCTGTTTGGAATCAACCGTTCATACGACGACCCAGACCTTCGACGTTTACTCGAGCTTGCCGACAACTACCGAGAGGCTGTGCATGGCAGCAGCCACATTGATTTCATGCCTTTTTTGAAGCATCTTCCTAATAGAGCACTCAAAAAGCTCGTTCTTGCAATAAAAGAAGTCTCATCTGCCACTAAGAAGATGTTTTTAAAAAACAAAGAAACCTACACTAACGGCCGAGTTCGCAATATTGCTGATGGTTTTATAGATGTCCTTGAGAAAGAAACGATGAAAGAGAAAGAGAATGGTCAGAACAACGAAGACACTCAAGTTGAAATGGCTCCCCTGCTGAATGATGAACAGATTGTTCACGTTTTGTCAGAGCTCTTCGGTGCAAGCTTGGACACCTCATCCATCACCATTTACTGGGGCTTAGCATACTTAATCAAGCATCCCGAGATCCAATCTCAGTTGCAAGATGAGTTAGACAATGCAATTGGACGAGATCGCCTTCCAACCCTTACAGACATCCCGTCCCTTCCTCTGCTCCAAGCCACAGTCTACGAGCTTCTGAGGGTGACAAGTGTTGCGCCTCTGGCGATTCCCCATTCAACCACCACTGAAACAACCATTCGCGACTTCACAATCCCAAAAGACACAATGGTTTTCGTTAACCTGTGGTCTCTACATCGCGATCCAGCAATCTGGGAAGACCCGGAAGTTTTCAACCCACGACGTTTCCTCAATGATGCTGGAGAGCTGATCGATCCGAAGACATTTGGAGGCTTCTTGCCCTTTTCAGGGGGTCGTCGAAGGTGTCCTGGAGAAAGCCTTGCTCTGAAAACCTTGCCTGTATTACTTGCATCATTAATACACAGCTTCCGTTTCTCGCAAGACGGTTTGCCTGCTGAATATCAAGGTATTAATGTTGAAGGGCATTTCGGCCTCACCCTGATGCCAGAGAAATTTTATACATTAATCGAGGAGCGCAACTGAAGAGCCTCAGTGAACTGAGACACAATGACAACACTTTCTAAGTTTTAATCCTTAGAAGTCTTTGAAAGAATCTTGAGTAACTTATTTACATTCAAGTATAGACATGCCAAACTTTTTTATTGTTTTTATCCTACATGGATTTATATGGTTTTGATGAAATGATTATGGAAAATTACCGTAATACTGCTATGAAGTTGTTTTATATTCTCGCTGAGATGAATACTCAGATTAACGTGTCAAAATGTGGTTATTGTGCCTTGCCTGTTAAGGTTATATTACCATTACTATACCAAACAATTCTCAGTCCTTTATTTTGAGCTGATTTTTTTTTATGGGAATTCGATGTAACAGTCGAATTTTGTTATTTGATGGGTAGCCCTGTTTCTTATAGATCAATTTGTCAGCCAAAGAAAATATGTAGCACATCTTGCCAGAGTGGGAAAAGAGAAGAATAAAACCCTCTCGAGGATTCGAACCTTGCATGTTCTGATGTTTTGGTCTGATGCCATATTTAAATATGGCTTTTCACATCTACAAATAAGGTTTGTGTATTAAAATATACAAACCTTTGTTTTAGATGTGAAAAGCGTCCGGCACATTGTTCATAGGATCAGTAAACCCAAAAGCGTCAGGTGTAAAATAAGATTCATCTATTGCCAGTTTGGCTCGGCTCACGACATTCTTCTCATTCGTTGGTTGAGGGTTTTTCAATCATATAGCCATGATTAAAAAAAGCCTGCATTTGGCATGCTTCTCTTTTTCTATTCATTAAATCGAGGAGCTGTTTATTTCTTTTGCTACAGCAAAAGGCGCGGCATAAAAATATTGCTGCTGAGAAAGTGATAGAGAAAGACTTCCCTGGCGTTTGAAATTTCCATGGTCACCACGTCCTGCGATTCTGCAGTGAGCCAGTAACATATAATATGACAGATTATGAGTAGAAAGGGACTGTATATGACAGATTATGAATAGAAAGAGATTGTAATCTTTGGGCTTACAGGAGATAGATATTAAAGTAAACTTATTTTCGAGCCTACGACAAATAAAAAAAAATATTAACATTTTACCAACTAAGGTCTGTTCTGGCTGCTTTATGTTTAGTATTTCTTTATGTATTTATCTCATTTCTTTAGAGGTTGTCCACTCCAGTGGGATTACTTATTTCCCTTGTTGAGGTAATTTAGTCAATGAAAAACCGCAGACAGCCTTAATGAATTATCGCGGATAGGATGTCGTGATGAACGCCCGTAAAAAAAAATAAGGACCGGCTTGAGTGAAGTGTGAATATAGGCTTCATATTTATACTTTATTCAAGCTCCTTCTCGAAACATTTGACTACGAACCCTGAGCTCGTACGTTCTTGGCAAAAAAGAAAAAATTTATAATCCTATTCATTTATGATGGTATTCTTGATTGGAGGTCTTTCAAAACCCGGGGAAATTTTACTCCTTTGCCTTTTGATGCAAAAGCTGATGACTGGAATTTGGCCCCCTTCTTTGTCTCAATTGCTTCGAAATCCACTCATGACTGGGAGACAAAAAGATAAGATTTGAAAGGCTTGAAAGAGCTTGGCACCAATTTATATCTTATTAGCTATTTAGCTACGGAAGTCGTATTACGTTTCATCTCTTAAATACATAAAATTGTAGATTCGACACCGAACTTTCATTACCATTTATCAAGCCAACTTTTATCACAGAAGAGACAAGATTATCACTTCACGCACTTGATGCAGAGATGTCAGTTTAAAGGATGTCACAAAAGTCTATTACTTTTGCTATTAAAGCACTGATCTTAAATTAGCTGCACACTTTCAAAACACACTTATGTCCACCCATGCACGCAGTGACGAAAATGGCAGATTTGACGAAATTTCGTCAAACTGAGTGAATGTTTAGTCAAACTGGGCAAAGCGATTTTTACGAATTTATTCAAATTCGTCAAAGCGAAATCAGCTTGGCGGATTCGCCGATTTTGACGAATTTTCGTCACTCTCGTTACTGCATACATTTCTGGACCAAACCAAGTCGTTCACGAAGTCACTTTTTTATGAAAAAAAATCAACTAAAATCGACATTATAACTACAGTCCGATTTAAAAAAGAAAAAGGAAGACCTCAATTGGTATCATTGCATGACGAGAGCGTAAAAGCACGATGAAGGCATGTATGCCCTCAGCTGACTAAAGGCGTTTATGTGACGACAGTTTCAATTGTGTTGCAGTGCTTTTTTATTAGTTAATGGCGTCGGATATACTTAGCAAACAGTAAAACTCCAAAGGAAGGGTCCACCTCGTAATTTTGCAAATTTAAGTCAACAATGTCTTCAAAATGCAGCGTAGGAAGGACTGGGCCATCACTAAATTGATATAGATACATAAATACTGAAGAAAACAGTACAGCTTTGGGCTGAAGTTCACAAACCATCAAACTTGAGTACATTGCATGATGTGTGATATTTACCATGTGTACAAAACGTAGACTCGTCGATCAATTTATAACGAACACAAATAACCCTTGAAGTTACACAGTGAAATTTTGTGCTAATTCTATCAAAGCACATCGCACTTGATTAGCTTGATAAATTTGTCTGTGTTCCATCGGTTGTTAGGAAGCACAAAATAAACACTCATGATGAACGAAGCTGGTGACGTTTTCTACATGACTAGCTAAAATGTTTTATTGTTTTACAAGATATTAGCCAGTTTTGGAATGTCTAATCAGGCATAATATATAAGCTAATATACGTACTGTAATGACGAAAGCGTAACCAGCTGTTTTTCCTATTGCGTGTCGGATTCCTTCTAAAGATTCAGTCAGCAGCAGCAGCAAATCTTGCTTTCTAAAAATATAATTATTATAATGGCAGAAAAGTCAGGAGGGCTTGAGAGGAATTATTCTTGAACGTTCCACAGACTTAATTACGGCTGCATGAAAAATATAAGAGGAATTACGTTTCGCACGTTTCTCCCTCACTCCAGTTTTAAAGGTAAAATTTAGCTTTTTGTCTCGGAAATGTTTTCAGGAACGTGAAGCCAGGCAATTAATCGGAAATCCAACCAAAACTCACCTGACTTGCGATTCTTGATCTTACAGCAAATTAACATCGCGGCATAACTAGTGGATTAGTTTCCACGAACCAGACTTATGACACTCGAGTGACAGACAATTTGACTCTGATGCCACTTCCTTTCAGATTTCCGAAATGTCGGTCACTATAACCAACACAGTGACGGATCCAGACCTTGAGCTAAGGGGGGGCCCGGTTTTTCGTCGCTTGCCCTGCCGGTCTTTCTTCCTTCTGCTATTCTTTTTACCCAAAATAAGGGTGGGGGGCCCCTAGATCCGCCACTGCAACAACAGTCTTTTTCATCACGTTTTTGAGTACTCGTTCTTACTCAAAAGATCAGAGCACACGATTAATTGCTAAATCTAGTTTCAAACCAACTACAATTATCACCACCGTATCTCTTTCCTGTTTCAACAGGGTTTGTAATGTACCAGATAGAGCACCCCCATGGCCTCACCAAGAGGGCGAAGGAACACGGCGATGTTTTAAACCTGAACCTCAACGATGGTTTAGCGATTGAATTAGCTTCATTTTAAACCGTTCGAGAAGGAATAGTTGTCGTCCATCGAGTCTGGATTCGAGGTCAGTATCAAGGTGGCCTTCCAGGACGCTTTGGACTATATATTCTGAGAGTCCGATTTCGACTCCGATCGAAACAGAAGCAGTAACTGAACGACGGAAATATTTCAGTCATTAACTTCTCGATTTGGCAAATTTTTCAGAGTTCGTGTATGCTGGTGACAATCGCAATAGATTCATCAATGACTTGTGCAGATTAACACGCGCGTACATACGCCTTTTTATTATTTTTCCTTACTTCATTTTGGTAATCAACCTTTTCTGGTCTTGTTTAAGAAGACCCTAGTCTATAACAAGGCAAAAGGAAGAGTAAAACTTTGCCCGCTTCACACTTTTAAGCCAATCAGAATTTACCTTTCATACTCTAGACAGACTATCACGTGATAGAAAATCAGCTTGGTAAAACATCGCGAAGTATGAGTTATAAAAAGTCTCTTACCTGCCTCTGAGGATGAGAAACGCCTTTCTCAGCTTCATTAAGCTTTATATAGTTGAGAATCACTGAGTTCAAATAACGTTGGTATCCTTAATATTACTAGACAGTGATTAGCTTGAGTAATCAATTGGAAATAAATATTAACATTGGACAGTTGTAATGAGGAATGCATAAGGTTCTCAATGGGTGATGGCTTTTGAGGTTAACGGTTAAAATTATAACCATATTACTGCTAACGGCTAACTTCCTTCCTTTGTGGTTAGAAGAAAAAGTTTCACGGTTGAAATTTTTTCTTTTTTTACGCCTAACGGAGAAATTTTTTGGCAATTTTATGGCTAATGGTTAACACCATCGAGACCGTCATGCATGGGAATAACTGCTAAGCATAAAAAAAAAATCACGATGTCACTTTTTGAAAATTTAATATTCTGCAAAGGAACAAGGCAAGTCGTTCCATTTTCCATTCTGACGCTTTACAATACAACCTTTATGAATTCCTCCCTTAGTTTCATCAGAATTCAACAATGCAAACCCACCCCACTCCACTCGTTTTCCCAGACCCAGAAACCCTCGACCGCCTGATCGTTACCACCCAACCAGGACCACTCGTCATTAGAGAAAAATAAGAAAAATAAGAGAAATGTCCATAATGCTTATGAATGCTTGAAAATGTCATCCACAATTGAAAATAATGTGTGTGTGAGCATATAGAATAAAAGTGAATTCTCGCTCTTATTATAGGGCTCTTATTAACTCCGAGGTTGAGCGTAAGACGTTTCGCTCAGCTTTCAAAAGATTCTTTGAATAAGAAGTATGTAACACCATTACAAGTCCGGAATAGTTATCAGATTTGATAACCACGCGATGTCACAACATGGCGACCATTTCTTACCCAATTACAGATGTCTGTGCGTTTGGCTATTGATGATCAAAGTTTATCTACTAGACAAACATGTATAAGCAGTTGTGACCTCACGATAAAATCCCGCCTTTATTCTCAGGCGCCAGGATAAAAAGTTACAATTTTGGGCTTTGGGAAGCATTGTTGATCAGAGTTCGCGTTCAGTAAGTTTGTCACCGAACGCAAGGGGAGTTGCTCTCTTGTCGAGATTTTGTCTCAAATTTATGTGAAACAATTTGCGACTAAAGTCTAAATTTGGGCATGATTAGTGATTTTGAGTTGATATGTCGATTACAGCACGACACCTTTATTTCAGGTCTGCTAGCAGCTTTAAACCGCGTCATTTTTACAAATGTTAACGAAATAAGAGTTGCAATACCCGTCCTTCTATGAGTCATAACCCAGAAACACCAAAAACTTCTTCGTTCCTTCTCCATTACCAGCTCATTCGAATTCCGAGGTCAATTTGCCAATTCGCTTCAGGAACTTTTAAAACTAGAAGGTGCATTTCAGCCCTAGCTTGAAGGGGTTTGAGCGGTTGAAACGGAGTTGGGGGCAATAAAAAACCACCCTAATTGAGTCTTCCTTGGTCTAATTGTAAAGACTTGTTAAAAAGTTGTCAAAATCTCGTGGGGAAGCCAATAGGTGAATATCTCACCTGTAGTCATCGACAGGGGAGTTGGTGACCCCTCCCTTAATCGTTACTTATTTTGCTTTCTAATTAAAATTCTAGAAAGACGAACGTGTGAGAGAGACAATCAACTAAGTAAAGTGTCATGGTATAATATAATCGACAGAAAAACACTGTAATCCTACAAATTCAACTACTTTATTAAACAACGAGTAATAATCATAATAAGGAGCGACTCGTAAAGGTAGCACAATACCTATCCTCGATAAACTTAATTAGACCCATTACAGTCTATATCTTAGCTCACAGCTAAGCCAAACTCGCAGTTTCCTCCAACGTTTCTTGAAATTAGCAATCTTCCCCTATAGTTCTCTCTTACTGTATAGCTTTCTACACAGTCAAGCACTTCCGACAACAACAACAACAACCCCTACTACACAACTGCAAACAAAAGCAACACGATATAATGGTTAAAAACATTGTAATGGCCTTTCTCTAACTTTATCCACCACTTGAGAATTAGTAACTGTGTTCAAAAAGATTTAGTATAGCCCGGCTATTTTGCAAAGCGTTTTGGCTTGAGCGAACAATTGGAAAGAAATATCAACACTGGACGATTTTCAATCAGTTAAGTAAAATGTGTGCGTGGCACTTACTACTGTGCATCGAAATTACGATGGTAATGGATATGTCAATTTTTGCAGATGTAATAGCGTAATTGAGTGCAAGGGTTGTCGTTCCATTTGCCATTTTTGTTTAGTATTTCAAGACAATTCTCAGATGATCCTCCGTTAGGTTCAACAGAATCCCACAATGTGAACCCACCCCACGCCATCCCGTCCTCCCAGACCCAAGAGCCGTCCACTGCCTCGTCGTTTCCTCCAACCCAGACGTTATGACCACTTTGGGAGAACAGTGACCACAGATAATCGTTCTCTTCTTTGGAATGTATTGTCGCTAAGGAAGCCCCAAATGTTTCGCATTGAGCTTTGGCTTCAGAATACCCCCTTAACTGGTCCTGGAAATACTTGTAACAGTGGTTATTGGACAACGTCCAGTTCACACGGCAGCCTAAAATTCATAGGACTCCATATTAGGAGAGTTACCTATGCTCGCTTGTACCGAATTGTAAAGTTCAACTTAACTTCTAGAATCACAATGAGGCAATGACTCAAAAAGGAAAAGCAGTTCAGTTGGCCAACCATTTTCATTTATATCTCTTCTAGCATTTTGAGTCAACGTGATCAAGCCATCTTCCTACATCCTCGCTGGTATATCGTACCCATGACGTTAACTTATATTGTTGACATCGTCCCCTAAAATTATCAGTGCATTATATCGATTCCCTGTTCTGCTTTTTGTGTTGAATATTGCGAAATGGCCAGTTTTGCGGCCTCCATACGCATGTGAACAAAAAACAGGTGCGCAATGGACCAAGATCATGAGAATGCATTCAGTGCGTTTGTGACAAGCTTCAGGAAATCGGTTCTATCGAAAATAACAGCAAGCCTGACTTATGGCGCGTTTTGTGTGCGAGCGTAGCTTCAGGTAGGATTTGTGAGGATTAATGCTGTTTCATATCTCCCCTGCGCAAGATTTTGAATGATGGAAGGTTCAATTTTGTATTTCAAAAAATTGATTAAAGCAACTTACGACAATTGTTCCCGGAGTGAAATCCATTTGCACATACACAAGTATAAGCATCAATTCCATCCACGCAAGTTCCACCGTTGTAACAAGAATCTGGTGAGCAGTCATCAGTATCTGAAAGGGATAAGAACTGGTAATCTTTTTTGAGAATCGAACCATCGATTCTATGGATTAACTAGGTTACTGCGACCATTTTGCACTATTTAACTCCAAAAGCTTTAGTCAAAAATTCACCACGAAATATCCTCTAAGACAGTTATTTGTAGGCTCAAAATTTAATTTCATAAAAGGTGCCCCTGAGGGGAGGGGGGGGGGGCGCATCTTATTGTTCAAGTGAGCTTAGCAAGGGAAAAGGAAGAGAAAATTGCTTTGTGTTGTCTGTGGGTTGTGGCTAATGGAAGGACGGGCATTTTGATTCTTATTTTGATAACATTTGTGATGAGAAGTATGTACTTTTAATGACCAATAGTGCATTTCATTCCTTAGAATCAGTTTGAATAATAGTCTTTAATATTTATAAAAAATATTTTGGAGTCTCTTACCAATTTGACAATTATCCCCATCAAATCCAATTCTGCAAAGGCATCTGTATGAGTCGTCATTGTAGTTCGGAACACAAGAGCCTCCGTTCTGACATGGTGCATTTATACAAGGAGACTAAAATGAAAAAAATACCAAGAGTAAATCAACCTAAATCCGATCATAAGGGATCGCTAGTGGAAGAGGAGAGATAATTTCACTAGTAGATGAAGTACAATGGTACCTTGGTGTCCCTGTTACTCGACCACACCGAAAGTAAAACCTAAACGTTGCTTACCCAGCTGGCCGCTAACGAGAAGTCAGACTATGGCTAAAGGGACTTTAAATTTGGAGATCGAGCCTGCAGTCTTTGTGGTTTTTGTTATACATCTCTTCAGCTCATATTTAAAAAAAAAGGCGAGTAATGCTAAAATATCAAAGTTTGTCCATAGCAGGATTGGAGTTATTTATCTGCTGGCTTTGTTAGTTGCTTCAATGAATAACCGTGGGCCAATATCCATTATTGAAACAAAAACTTCATCTGGTGTTTTAGACGTCCAGTTACCCCATCGGTTTCTGAACAAGTAAAATTTAATGACACGCAGCTGTTCGAAAAGAAAAAAAAAAGGAGAGAGAAGAAGAAAATCTTACAAGTTCAAATTGTCCAAGGCGGCTTTTACAACGCCATCGAGTTATGAAAAAGAAGTTGAAAAGGAGAGCACAAGAAAATGTATTTACCTCCTACAGGAACTGCCAAATCAAATATCACTAATGGTGTCACTCTACAAAACAGATCACTGAAAACTTCTTTAAGATCCTTACAAATTTTACACGTCGCTATAACTAGGTAAAGTTTCTCCCCAGCTTCTTTCTGAATTTCGCCCAACTCACCCGGCTTTTTTCCTTTTATGCAACACAAGTAGCTAATCTTACTTTTGTCTTTTGTTTGGAATTTTTAAATCGAACAGATTTTATATTGAATTATTCGTGCGCCGACTACTGTTACGTAACTATGCAAAAAGATTAAAAGACGCCATTGAAAGAGTAAAACTAAACATAGGAATTGCAAACAAAGAATTTTGGCCAAAATTAAATTTCAAAATTGGTCCAGATATCGTCTCTGTCTGATCATTTGCAATTATCATATCAACTTCCTACTTACAGAGTTAAATGTAAATGCTCTGACCAGAAACTGGTATAGCCTAGAAAAAAAATGCGGTTACGAAGTTGCGGTAACTTCTCGAACCCACAAGCTTAATCAAATTTGAAGATGAATTACCATGACGAGAAGAGGTGCCTCGAATTTTACCTTCTGCAATGGCCGGATTTTATGATTCAAAGAATTTGACTGAATCACACCTGCGCAGAAAATAGTTATGAAGCAAAGAACAGAGAACCAACTCACCCATTTTGTTACATGACGAGAGGTCGAGTTTTGTTTCAAATTTTGGGAGTTGTTAAAGATGTCATCAAATAGCAGCTCGCACCAAAGTGTGTTGTCCTCGTCTTCTGCAGAAGCCATATTTAAGGAAGTACAGGACGGTGTATTAAAGCACTTCATGGAACAGTCCAAGTCTTTCCCAACATTGGATGCCTGAATTCGTTTCGTTGTATCAAGATTATGGGAAGGGTACTCCACAAAATTGACAAATCGAAGCGTAGATTGAGAACTGATCTTTATCTCTCTGGTGGCATCAACAAGAATTATCGAAAATACACGGAGGCATAAAAGGTTACTGAAAACAACAAACATTTCTTTCCTTGCTTCTGTTAGCTCTACAGTTGAAAACGTTCCTGCCACAAACAATGAAGAATTCAGCTTTATTTTTATAATCTTGAACGAGTTAATGCATTATTTACTACAAATGACTCGCGTGTCACTCCGAAAAGAATAACTAATTATAAATGGCTTGTAGCTTGAAATGGGAGGCTTTATATCAAAAGCTGCTGTTATGATTAATCATCGTTTGGGGGATTTGAACAGCTATACCCTGTACGTAAACTTTGACTAATACTTTTGATCGATAGCGGCGAAATACCTCTTTGCTCAGAAATGACAACCTTCTCCAATGCATTTGCTAAATTATTGATATACGGTAATGAGTTCGAGTTACATAAACTTTTATTTCCACGAATGAAATCACGGTAGTATTTCAACAGTGTCAAACGCACAGAGATATAAAGACTAACATACCATGGCATTGCTTCATGCATCGTCGTATACGTGCTTAATTTTTTCGTCAAATTGAAGATGTTTCAAAAACCCCCTACGCTTGTTAAATTTCCTCAAATTATAATTTTTTGTTGCGTCCATAAGCTCGTTTGTAATGAGAAACACATAGTGAAGCACAGCAAATTGAACCCTTGAACGAAAAAAATTATTTTCAAAGGAGGGACACAAAACTTCGAAGACCTGCTACTGAGACCAATTTGCTTCAATTCAACAATCGCTTTAGGAGCTTATACAACTAGAAAGTGCTTTACAGTTTACGTATGGCAAGCTTGAGGATTCAGAGGTAGAATTGAACTGTTTTAAGAGAATTGAGGTTGAAGCCTGAATAATTGAGTGTTATTTGGCCCACAGGCGGCCCAAGCTCCAGCTGTGAGATGATCATCTTGCGCAATAACGGTCATGGCGGAATTATAAGAGTTTGTAGGGGAATATTTACGACCGCTCCAAGGAATAAAAAAATACGTCAAATTCTCAAAAAAAATACTTCACCTTACTTCCACAGCGTATTGCTTGTTATCTGACACTCTTACACTCCCCCATCGAGTCAGATGGATGTCCAAGGACACCATGGTCAAGGTTGCGTAAAGTGACAGAGTCATTCATCTTCTAATTATCGTCTGTTGAGGGGGAGGGGGTGTTATGTCACAATAAAATTTACCTGAGGCCCCTCCCATAAGGCCATGTAATATTCATGTAATTGCCCTAAATTTGAAGTGTATAAGTTTAATATCAAGCAGAACAGCAAGTTCCTCATGTGCTTTACGTGTTATGTGCTTCCGTGTTAACTAAGAAGCGATAGATTATCACTTTGTATCATCTTCTAGGAAATTAATTATATGAATCTTTTCACGTGTCATAAAAAATTAACTTTAAACTTAAAAGGCAATGTTCTCATGGATTACAATAGCTATCCTGTTCAAGAGTCTAAGTAAGAGGAAATTTTTTTCGCAGACGGGGCATCAGGTAAACCGAAAGTTAATAGTGTTTTGAATGGGCATTTTACAAAATGTCGTCTAATACCCGAGATTGGACTTGAACTTTGCTCCCACTATAGTATCCGTTGACTAGAGCAATTTCCGTTTTCCTTTTACTCACTCCTTTCGCGTTAAACATTGCTGACTTGCTTGTTGTCATCTTAAATATTATCAGTTGCCTGTTGCCCCTTGTCTGTTTCGTAATGCATGTTGCTTTTATTGCGAATGCCTTTTACTCAGTACTCCTCTTCTTTTTCGTAACATGGTCGGCAGACAACGAATATCGGGCACGATACTTTGTTTACCTAATTGGGTAAGTTCGCGGGTTATGACATCATAATTAGCATCACCTTGTGACATCCTATCATAAATTCAAATAATCATGTTATATCCTGTCTCGAGATTGGACTGATGACAACCGCAATATGGTGACAAAATATTGATAGTCAAGGAAAATATCTCGTTCGCTTGTAGTTCTTCTCTCGCCACATCGCACAATCCAACCAAGTAAACATTGGCATTGGCTCTTCATCGATCATGCCTGGTTACATTCGCTACCAGCAGACAAACAAGCTAAGGGACAAGTCCACACTATTTTTCCTCTGCTCATTTATTCTTGTCGTTGTTTACACGACCGTTATTGGCCTCGTGCTTGTTCACGTACTAAAGATAACGAAAGACATCGAAGACAACAACGACGAACTGTTGAAAGCGAACAAGAAGTTAGAAGAAAAACTGGAATTACTTGTCATCCGGCTAAAGAAACTTGAGGAAACAAACTCGGTCAATTCGAGCGCGATGCTCTATGTAAATATAAAACCTCCCAGACAGCTGAAAACCGCAGGAAGAGCAAATATGAATGTCGGATCAAACAAAGTCAGGGGAAAAAACTGACCTGAAAATTAATTCTAGCCAAAGATGCCACTATGTAGGTGAGTTAAAACAATTAGAGCCAGATATTCTTATTTCAGAGGAAAGATTTGATACAAAATAGTAAATGAAATCCTGTTCACTTTGACAGGAACATTAGTTGTGGTCAAATATCTCGAGGCAATAAAAGTCTTACTTTCAATACAACTCAATCTGCATAAAGAGCGAAAATTTCTCTAATTTTCTTCGACTGTATGCCTTCATTTCTATTATATAGTCTTTCTTATTTTCATTCTACAAAATCTTACAGACTTAAAATTGAGAAAGTATTTCCTAGAAGCTCAATTTTTTGGCAAAATCGTGTTCAAATTATGCGACAAATTACAAATTCATCGTCTCCCTAATAGGCCGCGAGGCTATCTTCTAATTTAGGGTGCCAGAAATGTATACTGCGAATAAATGCAAATGCGTACTGCTAATTTTACCGCCGAGACGAATCATTTAAGCTTATCTGGAAACGGATACAGCTGCATTTGCTTTGACCTGATTTTGCATCTTGTGTGTTTGTTAGCTTTCCCATCTTCACAAAGCGACCAAATTTGTTTTCCTATGATTTACACACCTCCTAAGAGTTCTCAGTACGAAACCAGTCTGTAAGTCTTTTAGAAATCTTTTATAACATGAGGATCAATTGAAAATTGCGAAATATTATTTCATATCATGTGAATTCATGAAATGAAAACAATTGCAACGGCTCCAATTTGGCTGAAACTCCCTTAGTAACAACGAAGTAAACAGATAAACATTACGAGGCTAGCTTAATTTCTGATCATGGCCTCATCACCTTGTGTTACTTCCTTACATGCGATTTCTTCTTTTGTGCTTTTTTTTTTTTAAGCCAGGACGACTAAACACCTGCGTGCGCCAAGAAAATTTATTTTGAAATGATATTATTTTAGTTTATAGGACGGCGTGAACCCTGTAAAGCTTTAAATTTTTGTTTTGATCTCTACGCATGCGATTTAAGAAAAGCAAATAACTTTGTCACGGAAATATGAACATAAAGCTTACTAAGAAGACTTCGAATATTTTGGCTAGACTTCAATAACAAAACGTCCGGTAAGCCGTCTTGTAGCTCTTGAAATTAACGAAAAGTGTCCTTTTTTATTTAAAAGCTTGGGAAACTAATTGAAAGTATAAATAGAGAGTTATGGTAGCATGCGACATTCTTTTTTTGTTAGCTATCCTTTATAGAACAGACTCGTGTCATTTTATTATTTCAGTACGACTCTTTCTGAGCTTGGCCACCTCGCTAATTGTAACTGCTAAATTCCAAAAGCCAAACAAGGTGGATCTTGTCGGCTGGCCAGTTTTGCTTCTGTGATGACATCTGGTTGCCTAAACCCGAGGCATTTCTGAGACCCAAGCGGTGCCAAAATCATGAACGTGAATTTTCTCTGCTTGTTTTGCCGAATACCGGCTGATAAACAATTTAGAATGTTTGGGTGATTGGTATAAATTGAAAGTCCTTGATTCTTTGTACATTTATGTCACAGTTAAAATAAAGGAGAATCTCTGCGGAGGTTCGATTCCTCATGGGGACTCAGAATTTATTTTTTGTCCAACGCTCGTGACAAGACGAAAAAACATCTTTCCATCTCTTTATCGAGCTCAAAACTTATTATCTTTCTTTTTCTAATCTCCTCTGTGGTTTTATAGTAAGAGTAATTTTTCTGAATTTTTCTGATTTAAATACTGAAGCAGAAATGTCTTGTTACGTCATCCTGCATCGTCTGAAGGGCATGACCATGATTAGGGACAGAACTTAGGTAAACCGCAGAGGTGCATTTTCCGTGTAGTAGGTTCTTCTTTGAGTATTTTGAAATGTACGAGACCTAACTAACAGTTCAATGTGGATTTTCAACGCAAATTGGTATTTCCTCGGACTTATGAGAACTCTCGAGTAATTTTCTACGCTCCTTTAAAAGGTCGAATCCCTAGTACGAAAGAACGAGGTTTTTTTGGCTAAAATAACCATTTTCAACTAAAATTGTGGTATTTTTTCTTTTTTTCAAGAAATCCTCCGTAGAGCCGTATCAGAGGACAAGAGAATCAACCTAAAAAGGTTGTTGTGGCAGCAGCTCCTAATCAGGGAGTCGCACAAAGCTTAGGAGGTCTTATACGCATGTACGAAATAATCGCGTAAACGCACTAAAAATGAATGGAACAGTACTATCTAAATGATGTAACTAGTATTAAGTCAGCGTCAATTCAAATAATAATAATAATAAAAAAAGAGTTAGCATTTTTATACATTCTCTATAGTTCTAGCTGTTGTTCTGGTTGTAATTTCCACGCGCACAGTAAACACAGTTAATCTTCAATAAGAGTTAAGTGGCAAAGGGTGAGAGGTAGAAGAGGAAGCTGTCGTGGCCTATAACTGGGGCATTATTTCGCTCTGACTGGTATTGCTACTAATGATAAAAGATTGAGGGATTTGGTGCTCGAGCAGGAGTGACTTTGATACAGGTCTTGATAGATACGAGTTGCTCTGGCAAACAAGTGAGTTTCCTCTCCAATGACTCTTTGAACTCCTTTTGCTGCAGACATTGAAGATAGCTGAGTTTTTAATTTAGTTCATATATGCTGTTCATACAAGATGGAAATTTTTCATCGTTAAATGACAAAAAGGTGAATTTAGTTAAACTAAATGCAGTCGCCAAACCAAGTCAAAAATAATGTGTTGTGAGACGCTTTGAGTAACGTAAGTTTCTGTGGCTGTCTTCTTTTTCTGAAAGGCAGTTAATGCTCTCAGGGCAACTGCTCGTATAACCATCAAGAGCTCTCGCCTGGACGCCAATGCTGCTGACAGGGTCGTCGCAATGCTCGGAGGTTTCGACAAAACATGCATTTCCACTACGATCCCTTAAGTAAACTTTAAGTCCGTTTGCGGTGAAAGGCTTTCGCTGGTCTAAATCAACTTCCTTTTCTTCTTCCTTAAGTGAATACAGCTTGAATGACGTTTCTTCAGAGAAGGTCTGAAGCTTTCGAATCCGCCCATACCTACGGTTTCCAATGGAAATTCTTCTCCTTTCCATTTCATCCTCGCTGGATTCTAAAAACTTCAGCTGCCGAGGCTTCATTACTTTTTCATTCTCCGTCGAGAGATTGCGCGGCCGCGTTCTCGTTACTTTATCCACGTCACTACAGTCGGTATCTGATGATTCATTTCGGATGAAACGTCTTCCGTACGCCCATGACAGACTTGGCATTTTCTTAGGCTTTGGCAACGTGCTGTGGCCTGAATAAGCTTTATTAAAATGTTTAGGGCTCTGCGGTGGGTTGGAATTAGTCATAGTTCCTATTCCTCCATTACACTCCCCCATCGAGTCAGATGGATGTCCAAGGACACCATGGTCAAGGTTGCGTAAAGTGACAGAGTCATTTAGGCGCGGAGTATTGTTAATCGTTTGTCCAATGATATCAAAGTTTATGGACAGTTTTTCTTGAGATTTTGTAGTCGGTACTTGGGTATAGTAGCTTTTTGGTATTGTGAGGAAATTCGAATCTACGGTTGTGCAAGCAGCATTGTTCAAATAGCGCTCTTCCCATACTTTGACTGATATTTCATCGAGTCCTCTTCCTGATCTGAGGTTTTCGTGCGTCCTCATCCCACTGAATCTCTTTGATGTAAGAGCATGAGAGTTATATTGGGCGAGACTCTCTTTATCACGACCGGGTTCGCCGGATAGATTTGAGAGGTGTTTATCTTCATCTTCAGCTTGTCTCATGGAGCTCTTCTCTGTTTCACCTTTATCCTCGGTGGTAGTCCGTTTGAAACATTTCTGGATCCTTGGCTTTAGACCAACTCCGAGAATGTATGTTATTACAATAATTATAACTAACAAGCCAACTGCAAGTGCTACGACAATTGGATAGGTTTGATCAAAACTTGAATCATTTTGAAAACGTTGTTTTGCCTGAGGGGTCAGCTCCGTGAATGTTCCTCCTGATGCGTTCGATCCTAGCGTTAAGGAAACAGTAGACTCCATGGTTGTTTCAGGAGCTTCTCCATATAAGTATGTGCTCACAGAAAAAGGATCTTTCGTAGGCCATGTGGCAGTTTTATTCTTAGTCATGTCTTTTTCCAATTTTGACCAATCGCGTTTGGAGGAATATGCGCACTCCCCTACAGAAATTCCCTTGGAATTGAACTGAGTAAAATTTATGCTATGACTGTTTACAAAGACATCACGCAAACAACCTATAAAGCAGGGATATTTTCGAGCGCTGCGTCCAAAACGTATTGTAAAGTGAGACGATTCGCGCCCATTTTGAAAGTCTTTGTTTGACATCGTCGTTCTAAACTCGTAGTGCCCTCTTAAGGCGTCGTCAATGAATAAATAAGCGCCAGTCCCCTTAGCAAAATAAAAATTCACTTTATGCCAATAGTTATCAAAAAGTGAAGTTCCTCCAGAGGTCAGATGAAAGGAATCGCCTTTATGGCCTTCAGTAGCTTCGAGTCTTATAGAAACTTTCATGCGACCCATTTCCAGGAAAAACAAGGCCGTGAAAATCTTATTCATTATCTTTCCAACAAATGCTCTTGACTGGCTGGTTCGGACTTGAAATTCGAAAGATGTGTTTAACTTAATGTTGTCTTTCATCGTGAGCAATACCTTGGAATTTTTATCAGAAAATGACGCAATGTTTTCCTTTGCCGCTGTACAAAGAGTTGAAACATCTCCAAACTGTTTTATGTGTGACATATTCGAACGCTCTGGAATGCCTGAACTGTGAAAGCTTACTTCAAGATCTGCGACGCATCCAGAGAAATTTGCCGCTTTTGTTAGACAAGTGAAGCTTCCATTCAGTTCCTGTTGCTTTTTCGTGTCAGGGCGACCTCCAAGATATAATATTTGCTGAACTTTACTAACTAAACGCTCTTGGGATTTGGCTTTTTGTGATACTAACCCATCCACTTTACAATGCATGTTGCTGTTCTCCACGTTATTAGTGATGAACATGTTAAACTTGTGCCATCTCCCGTCTGCGAAAGATCTGTGTGGAACAGAGGCAACGGCCTGTGCGGCTAAAGGCTTGCAATTGTTGATGAAAATACACCTGTAGTTGAAAATTTACTGATTAATAACGAAAAAAGAGACGTTAGTTATCCATGTTTAAAAGCAATTCGTACTATTACAAAGAAGAGCACTTAACGCAGACAGATGGATTAAACCAGTTCGATCTAATTCGCCTATCTCCGTTTGTTCGAGGAGTGGATAGCGCTATCCTCTCGATAAATTGCTATCCAGTAGATAACCCAGCACGTTTTGTCAATTCTTATCTGCTAGGTAGCGATTGACCTATGGGATAGCGTTATGCACCCTTTGAACAACCAAGCCCTGATGGTTAAGTTATTATTCATTCGTTCCCGCTTGAGCGATACAGCTGCCGAAGGGTTTTTTTTTTTTCGCCAATTTAACAACTAATTCCAAACTTAAGATTTTTCTCGAACAGTTCGCGGAAAGTGAGCAAGATACAGCGGAAAGTTAAATGGCCAAGAGTTTTAGAGTTATTGGACAATTATCCAAGGGTAATAAGCAAGTGATAAAGGGAACGAATTAATTAGCGTTAAACAACTAAACAAACTATCAAACAATTTCACTTGCACTAAATTCAACTAAATAAGTTTATGAATACTCTTAAGAGGCTGGATTTACGATATTTTGTATCTTTAAAGTTATTCTTGGCTGTTGCGTTCAGCAGAAAATGTGTATGTCGATAGAAAGGACGAGCAGGGATTGTTACTGTGAATCTGGCTTATCGTAACTCAAAATTAAAGAGGATGTAAATACCTCTGGAAGAATTCTAACATCTACCCAATGTCAAGAAGACAGAAAAAAAGGCAGAAAACGGAAAAGAACACAGTGTACGGTTGTTATAAGGGCGGGTAACTCTATCCAGGGGATAAGTGTTGACAAAACGTGTTGCAATATCCAACGAATAGAGATTTACCCAGTGGATGACGTTATCCACCTCTCGAAAACCCGTGGTCAGAAGTAGCAAAAAATTTGTATTTGAAATAAAAAGAAAGAACCGCTTACTACAGTTGAATATTCTCCCTTACAATAACAACCGTATTAGTACACTTTTAATGATGTAAGTTAACCGAAAGACAAGCGAGCGTTTCCATGGATTGCCAGCGTTATGTAAACTATAAAAAAGCGTGCTAAATACAATACAACAAACCGTGATATTGTTCCTTTGACTGCGTAACAATTGCAGCTTTGATTCATTTTTTAACAGATTTACTTCGGCTGGTTGCACACAGCCACGTGCGCGCAGCATGCTGCTAATATCTCAAGCGCGTCTTTAAACCCTCCTTATTATTTGCAACAAGTAAATTCAGTTGTTTCAATACTAGCAGAACCATGCAAAGGCAACAGACTCAATAAGACGAATTCGAAAACCCTCAACCTCAATTTGTAACATAACGTGCTTTAAACACAATAACAGAAATAAAATTGACTCAACGAGAGAAAAAATCCTTATCAAAAGTTTTCACTTTCATTTGAATAAAGCGATTCATTAAAAAAAAAAAATGCTTCCACAGTAAAATATAGTTAAATTTTGAGTTAAAGCTACGTTCTGAAAATCATACATCGCAGTGCTCGGTGTGGTTTTGACACTCTGACAGTTCTCTCCTCTCTCTAGCGGAGATTATGCAAACTGCGGTTTCCTAAAATATGAAAAATATTTCTTTATCGTCCCCACATCGAAGTTGGCCGCGGTCGTTCCTTATCAGACGAGTCAGTAAACAGAACGAGTCACACTTAGGTTGACTCGAGTTTCTCTCTTTCTCTACGCCCAGTACAAGTTAATTGCCACTTAGCCATGGTTATACTGCAATGATGATTAACTCAGAGGCGTATTTTGTTTTCCTTTTTGATCACAAAAAAACTTTTGTAGCTCAATGTAATCCCATATGAGCTGAGAAACAACTACGTACGTAAACGCTGGAGGCGAAATGAATCACGCGTTTACAGCAATTAAAAGATAAGATACTTGGCCGGATGGGCAATCACGCAAAGCAGTGGGTCAATATCCATTACAAGAGCAAATTAAGCGTGCATTACCACACAGATATCCACCCAGAGAAAGTCTGCAGACCAGCTGGTGAGCATCTGTAAGATACGTTAACTGGTGGTGAATAATTGAAAGGTTATGAAATTCCCATGGTGGAGAGCGTTTAGTTACAAAGACTTGTTGGCTTTTTCCTTGTGTTTATTGCAAATGATCAGATAGCAGTTTAAGTAAATGGGCTGTAAGTGAAAACAGAACATCAATTACGATTAAAAGATACTAAACAATTGTCCTCTGCCACAATCTGTGGAGTATAATCTAACAAATAAAATTCAGAGCGAAACTTGTGTCAAAGATGTCTTCAGGCGGCAATTGGCTCTTGAACCCACGCGGAAAATTCAGCGTCCTTTCAATTTCTTTCCAGCTGCGTTAGAGCTGCAACGCCGCGTCTTCAAGCGTGTTTACTTATTTTTAGAGTTCGGTATGCATGTCGTAGATTTCCGGCCCGTTTATTTTGATTATACGCGATAAACTGACAAGTAAATGTTGTTTTCGTTGTCAACAATGGCGATGAATTTCTAAATTTTGGCACGTGGTTGAAATCCATGAGGACTCAAGACTTACTCAAATTTGACTGTGTCAAACGAACTGCATAATCCAAATCATCTCGCCACATTAATTCCTCGAACCGAATCATTGCAAATTTATTTTTGCTGAAGATTACATCATAAATACGCTAAAGTACACCGTTTTCCATTCGAGCTTCAGAATTTCTTTCGCACTTCGTACCCAATCTGCTTAACTTTTTAAAGGGTGTTCACAGTCTTGTCCAAAGACACAAGTGCACCACCTGAGGCTGCACCCTCATATACATCACTTTTTCCCTACAGTGCGATTCTTTATCTTGCCTTATTTTTCTTCATGCTCAGCTAATGTAACCGAAGAAGGGGCAGCTTCAGAGTTCGCAAAAGGAATAGAAGAGTTCAGAGCAACACGTTTGAACAACCTTTGTAAATCTAATTTATTGGAGTTAAATTACATGAACAAGTTAAAAACGATCACTTAAGGTGACTGATAGATTTGCATTCCATCAGCTGGGTAATAACATGAAAAATTATCTAATAAATTTTATGTGAGCGCCACCAGTTCATTTTATTTGATGCTCGTGCCGGTTGCAATGTTATTTTAAAAATTAAAACATCAAGGTACAAGGACTACCAGCCACTAAAAAAACAGTTAAAAACTGAACAGCTAAAATAGAACAATGGGCACGCGGACTGAAGACAAAATACTACAAGGTTTTCATTAAAAGCAGCTTAACAAACAGTTTCAACTGGTACCACAAAAAACAATACTGATGGTGTCGAATAAAACTCTAAGCAAGCAAAAGTTCAAAACAGCAGAAAAAAAAAATCAACTGTAGTATAAGAAAAGAACTGATTATTTATCTATAGGACAAGTCACCAAGAGGCATCTCTAAGTTAATAAAAAAAAGCTAGGGTTTTTTTCTATTATCCCATTCACATCAAAGCTTAAACATGTTTGAAAGCTGTTTTGTTAGACACGGTTCAAAATAGTTTACAGATGTTTGTCGAATTAAAAAATAAAAGTTATCAGTAATGACTACTTGAAACCTATGGAAAACTCAGTTTTTCAGTCCTTTGTTTTTGATTTTCATTCAGTTAAACTCGGTTTAGCTTGACATATTTTGTTGGTGTGAATGGGGTATATGTCCTTTTTTGTTCTCGTTTTGCCCGTGAAAAGAACAGGTTCATGCAATATTTATTGCTCCGTTACAAAGGGATTGAAAATGCATATTTCTACAGGCCAGGTTTTCTTGCATGGTGTTGTGGTTAACCCGACAACCTTTTCAGAACAACGTCCTTCTAAATACAACGATTAAGTTTTGTGATCTCACGTACTTAATTTCGTCGTATTCTTATTCTACATCAGGGGTAAACCCGGCCAGTTAGAATCCTTGGTACTAACTTTACACCTGAAGCGATGGCTTTGGACGCAACTGCACACGCATTGGAAAAAAGTCTTGTTGTACAAGCCCAATGCTATCACCTCGTGGTCACTTTTATTGAATTTAACACCCCTAGTTGTCGTCATTGCCGGGTACTTAATCAACTACGCCTGAATTTGTGTCACTTCACTAACTGTTTCGTCTTGGTTTGTTAACGAAGCTGCAGCGTACGTCGGTTATGTGGTCTTTTACGATACTGTTATTTGGTAGACAAAAGGCTGGTGGCAACTGGTCAACAAATTGTTTCTTGTTGATTCACAAAGATGAATAGACATAACAAAGGCAACCTCGTTGGACGGACATCAAGTCATACCTATATTCCAGGCTCTCTCTTCTCTCCGCGTCCGGTAGCGGGAAAAAGAAAGAGAGAGACGGGGAAGGAGAAGAAGAGAGACTCTGGGAACGACCTTAATCCAGTCAAATTCCAACTGAGACATTTCTATGGACATGTAATGTTTTGATTGTTTAAAAGGATCATAAATTTCAAATGTAGTTCCTGTACCAAAATTTTCGTGGGCGTAGCGATAAAGCTTGTGAGAAAATGTGACAATCTTTCTAACACAAAAAATTTTGTGTGCCATTCTCCACGAGAATGTCGCAGATACATGTAAAACTGTCGTGGATAAGTTCTGGAAGCATGAAGTCGCTGTGGGTTAGTGTTAATGCGTTTTTCAAATTAGGATAATCTGCAATATCAACCTTCTGTGGTTTCTGTGGTAATCCCTTTAAAATATGTTGGAAATTCTTATGCGATCACGACATAAGGGGAGCACCCCTCTGGCTCAGAAAGCTCGCGAAGCTAGACAAAATCCTCAGAAAATTCCCGAGGAAAATCTCGGAAAAATCCCAAAACAATTGAGTCATCAACCAACTCTTCCTGCCTCGGTACAATTAGATATGATAAGAGATAATGACGATGAGTATACTATTAAAAATGATGATGAAAAAAAACTTTTGAAGTAAGAAGCAGTCGTAACAATAATGGAGTTATATTGAGACCAAATTGGAAAAACTAGGGGAGTCATTCTTTTATCTTGGATAGAAGATCATATCATGTTATGTTGTTATCCTAGAATTATTTTATTTAACATTACCACTATTAGTGTCAAGAATGTTATAGTTATTACTATATGATGTTGCTAAGGAGAATATTCCCAAGCACTGCTGGCAATGATTTTTCTCGAGACCACTTATACGATCACGGCCCAATGATATAATAAGACATTCCTCTAGCAAAATCAGGTGCTTATTCTTTTCTCAATTCATTATCTCCTTGTAATAATTGCCCGACCATTTAATCGAGTGAGAAAGTAAGATCACTTTATGAGCAGAAAATGACTTTTCCGCTTTAGTCCGATGCTGATTTCTCTTAGCTCTTGTAACATAATTAGTTTCTTTTGCGTCGATCACACCATGAACGCCCACACTAAGGTGTAACTGACTAAACAGGAACTTTCCTCTTCCTGAAAAATTCCCCTTCAGAACATACGAGTAATCGATCCAAAACGGAAGAAGATTATTACTTAAACATTGTTTTAGCTGTCCATGTTTGGTTTTAAAATGAATATGACATCATCGGACTTGCTCAGATACGACTAGTGGCCTACACTTTTTTTTTGCATTATAAATTTGACATTTTCGAGCTTTTTTACAAGGCTATAATGCCACTCTCCCCGACTCACTGTCTGAAAACATCTTTAAATGTCGCTCAGATGGTTACTCTCTGAAGGGACTCAACCTTTTAACAATACCCAGGTTCCAAACAGGATACATGAAAGACTCGCTGAATATCGCGGCACTGTGTTATGGAACACTGTTTGCTACTGTGAACAAGCAGTCGGACGCTCGAGTCTCAATAATCTGAAAAAATGCCTACTCACCACTTTGAGGAATTCAAATCTGACCTACTTTCCGCTTCTATTGCTTGCCTTATACATACCGATCTTTTTTTTTACTTAGAAGTTACAACAACTATCACTTTCTATTTTCAAATTCAAGTTATATTTACAAAACGTGTGATTTTCCTTTTTTATTCACACGACCACACAAGCTTGTAGCTTAAGATATTATCGTGTATTAATAAAGGTTATGTATCTATCTGTCTCTCCAATAGAACAATCGAGATCGACCCATATCACTTCTCAGGACACTTGCGCAATGTTGAGTGACATCACAAGCGTGACGGAAGTACACGTAACACTAGTCATGCATATCCCTAGGTGGATTTGACTTTGCATTCAGGTTTTCAAAAATGTGTTTTTAAAAAATATCTGAGCTAAATTTTCATGAAAAAAGACAAAAAAAAAAAAAAAAAAAAAAAGAGAAAAAGGAACGAAACTTAACTGACTGCGGCTATACATCATCAAAACAATTTTTTTTTCAAGTTTTGGTTTCTCAGGTCGCGAGTTAATATTTGGTTGCCGTCCATTTCGGAATTTTTTTGTGTCCAAATCTTTCTTAAATGCAAGTAGATGAAAGAGATAGAAATATTTACATAACAATCTACTGAGCAGGAAATGAACTGAAATTTTTAAGAACAAACAAACGAATTTTCTCGACGCTCACACGGTGTTCCATCCGTTCGCTTCCTATCTGGGGCCATGCTCAATCAATATCGGACAAAAGGGTTGACCTATAATGATTCATGAAGCATTTTTGTACCCTAAGGCAAGGTACATAAAAACAGAGCGATAACAGCTTTGAACACTCGACCGACACGCGTTTCTTTCTTTATAAATGATGAAAAGAGTTATCATTGACAGTAAACAGCATTTGGTGAGAACACAGGATCTTTCAATGATAGACATTGTGATTCTCTAAAAGCAAACACAGCCACGTGTGGAAAGCGCTTTCAAAGCCGACAGTTTGGTGCAATTTGATGATAAGTCTATCATAACAAGAGAATTTTAGTGAATAAACCCGCGGTTCACTGAATAACAAAGGCTATAAGCTCTTCGCAATTCGCAAGTAGGTGAAAGTTTCTGCAGAGAGACAAAAAATTATTATGTCTGCTGTAAATTTCGGCTACGGGTTGATTCAGCTGCGGTGATGAGGGATTTGTTTTAATCGCGAAATGAACCAGAAAATTTATGTAGCGAGTTGGGGAAAGGAGGTTTAAGCTTATTCATAGATTTAGAATCTTGATGTTGTGAAGAAGTCGCGTTTCAAGTTACAGAAGAGTTTACCCTGAGAAAAAGAACGAAAAAAAGAAACGTTCGATAGACTCAAACAAAGGGTATTTATGGAACAAAACAAGAAAGAACAATGTTTGGTTTTCCGTATTAAAAATTACGAATTCGTAGCTTTGAAACCTTGATTAAGAAACTAAGAAAACTAAGGTTGCACGTGGCGTGAATTTATGATTAAAATTGAAATTTATAAAACGACTTTAAACTTCCTTTCAAGTCAACAAATTATACGCATGCATAATCAGTCACATTAACAAATTAGTTTTGGTATCGAACAAAGCGTATTTTTTAGCACAATCCTAGCCTTTGTTCGTGAAATGGTTTTATTGAAGTCCTCCAGGTGCCTTATTCTTGGTGATTTAAAGATTTATAAACCTTTTGTTACAGAAGTTACAACGGTTGAAATAAAAGAAGCGGGGAAAAGTGGAGCGTTGAAAACACCGCTTTGCAACTTAAGGAAATCATTCGCGTTCGTATTATGAATAACGATCAGTTACCGCATGGTTAAATTAGTTGCCTCCCTGCGAGAGGATGAAAGGGCGAAGCATAGCGTCGTTTTAGACTCTTAAAGGCCTTTGTCTCGCTCCTAAGAGTGATCCACGACTTTTCCAACTGTGAGGAAAGCGTCATCTGGGCCAAATATCATTTCTTGAACCACGAATATTCCGATGTGTTAGCTGGACAATTCAAAGTCATCGTCCTGACCGAAATGAAAACAATAGAAATTTTTTCTTACGCTTGCTTGATTCATTAGTTTCTCTCTCCAACCGGCATCCTAAACTACACGTGCCCTCTAAAGCGTGTAATGGATCACGTGTTATGCGGTGTTGTTTCGTATGGCACGCGAACGGCTCGCGAGGCAGGTGTAAGAAATAAACATATGTTTTGAGCAATATCGAGTGTGGCACGCGCCAGCTATTTTTGTTGGCAAACAAATAATTCCTCGAGGGACTCATCACAGAGCTTTGTATATCTTTGATTTAGAATAATAATGCGTTTGCAATGTGCCAAAGGAGTGCCTAGAGGAAATTACGTGCATTGAATCGGAAACAATGACCTCGCGACAGTGAACACCCTGTAAGCTTTGACATACCGCTGGGCAAAGCCGGGTATAAAATCCGAGCACTTACGCTTCCTTTTCAGTATACACACTGGAACCGAGCTGTGCGCATCTCTGAAGTCACGAAGAAAAAAAAAGGAAAACAACTGCTGAAGGAGAAGGAGGAAAAATCATGGAGGACACATCCCGAAATGATTTCAAATATTTGTTCAAAATTTTAGTGATCGGAGATGTTGGCGTTGGGAAAACGTCTTTGATTCGAAGATTTACCAAGGGATACTTCGCCGAGAACATCTCTTCGACTGTTGGCGTTGATGTGGACTCGAAGATTCTGAACATTCATGGCGATAAAGTGAAACTTCAGTGCTGGGACACTGCTGGACAAGAAAAACACCGCTCAATAACACAGAGCTACTACCGAAACGCCGATGCTGTCATCATGGTATTTGACCTTACAAATCGTGGCTCGTTCGCCAGCATACCTCAGTGGTTGATGGATGTTCAGCGTTACACAACGAAGAACGCCGTCAAGGTACTGGTCGGTAACAAAACAGACTTGAAAGGCGCTAAAAGAATGGTGAATTCAAGATCTGCGGCAAATCTCGCAGAATTCGAGGATTTATTGTACATTGAAACGTCCGCTAAATGGGACGACAACATTGAGACTCTTTTCACTGAGTTAGCTGAGCAACTGAGAGAAAATGCAAAGAGCAGGAATCTGAACCGCCAAAACTGTACCACCAACTACAGTGTCGTCAAGAAGACCTTTAGCATTGTATCTTACATAAAGAAACTTGGACAGAAACTGCCTATTCAAACCACGGCGACTTTGTGTGGAATTTAAAATTTAAAATTTGAAACTTAAAAATTGTCAAATTCTCAGAGACAAAGGAAAAAACCAAGGGGATTTTTTTCCTCTCTAATCTGAACCCCTAAGGCTCTTAATAAATTATGTAAAATCATTATTTCAGTTCTGCGGAAATCGCTAAAATCATGTTGTTACTTATGCGAAGATAATGTCAAATAAGAATTTCAGCTTGAAATCAAGCTCAATCAAAGTGCTTCAAAAATTAATTGATTTAATGTAAATTGGTGCAGAGCACTCTGTGTATATGTATATTTTATAAGATGATGAAATTATATTTGTAACATAAGCGGAGGATGTAATATACAGATATGCATATAACAAAATAAAATTCTCTCAGTTATTTCACGTTGTAGTTTTGCTTATATGCCTGTTTCTAGTACTTAGTCGGTGGCTTATTGAAGGGGAACAATCAATTTCAAAGCAGCACCCGTAATCAATTGATGTTTTTGAATGGGTTAAAAAGCGACATCGCTCATGCATGGCACGTGTCTGTTGAAGAGAGCAAGTCATACAAGAAAACCTGACTTTCCTTGCTTGTGTTATGTTAATCACGACAAGAAAAGACCCCAAGCTTTCAGCAGCGCAGCCGCTGTCTGAGACAGCGTAAACTTTGAAATTGCTTTTTTTTTTCTCTTCTTTCAAAAATCTGTAATGTGTGGAAATATGTAGGCCTTTAATGCCGAAGAAACTTAAACGAGCTTTCCATTAAGAAACTTAGGCCAACACACAGCGAAGAAGAATGAAAATTTCCTTTCTGTTGTTTTGTTCACGGTTAACCGCGTCTCAATAAAGAGTCAAAGAACTCTTTCAATGTTATGCAAATTCAACAAAGTTTTAAATTTTTATGAATCATTTGCATAACCAGCAGCACTCAGCTTGTGATAAAATGTTACGTCTAGATTCTCCTTCGCTGAGAAACGAAAACATGATCCTGTCCGTTTCAGCACGGCATACGAAAACGCTCGAACTATTGCGTGGGTGTTTGAAAAATGATTGTTTCAGCAACTCTATTTTAATTTCAGTATTCGCGGGGGGGCAAAGGAAAGGAGGCACTTTTTTTATGAAGTTACGACGAAATTCAAGCATTTCTTATTTTTCTAAAGGGTTAAGTATCCTTTCCTAAATCGAAGTGCGCGAAGAAGAAGCGCTCACCGCACTTAAGCGGTAGAGTCGAATGAATGTCATAACTATGATGAGTGTGGATTAAAATAAAAAACTTTGATCAAAACATTTTTAGCATGAAGCTTTTGCCGTGCGCTCCTCACCGTTCACATCGCTATTTTCACATGTAATCCAAATGATATCAGAGTCAGGTTTTTAATCATGAACAGTAAAGAAGCTTTTGATAAGTAACAGACCAAAGCACTCATTTTCGAAGTCGTCGGGTAAGAAAACGAAACCATGGAAGTTTTGCATACCGTGGTTTGTACTGAATTGATCGATCCTGATGTAGGAGTGCTAGCTAGCGCAAAACACTAGAATTTCTGATGAAAGTGGTAGAGTTGGTTTTGAACAAGAAAGAATTATAGTTCTGTTATCTCCGACAAAGCATTATCACTCGCAGTGTTCAGCTCATTTGATATGCATCAGAATACCTGCGGCATTGTAAAAACACGTCTGCATAAATCAAATCCGCGCTTACTAATTCCTACGGTCAACAAAAATCTTCGAAACCGAAAAGCTATTAGGCCGATAAAATGTTAATCCTTTTACAAAAATTTTAAAACGCTTCCTCGAGATGCCATCACAAGAACGCGCGCGTCATAGATGAAAATTGTCCGTGTTGTTTCGGTAAAATAACCTTGTGGCGCCTACGGCAGTTTTACACAGCGCCAAGCAGACACAGGTTATGGCTGATCGGGCTCCTTTACCGCAAAAAATTTCCAGCTACTATCGTCAGGAACAGACGAATTGATGTAATTTTTCGGCGGTTAGCAGTTGCGTTGGTTCAATGAAATTTTTTCTAGTATAAAATTCTTTTTGGAGTACGTAAGGTCCACGTATGGACCGTCAAAAATTGCAAATCCGGCTGTATTTCAAGCCATCTTGCGGGGTATTGGGAAAAGTTTTCAATCAGCAATAACCGCGCCTCGGATGAACCTCACTGACTACGGTAATGCCACTGCGCAAAGCTAAATGAATACAGGTGTTAAAAGAGGATTCTATATGGCCAATTACGCCTTCAATATGGGAACTCTCTCCTTTGCCAATTTCTCGAATTCAATTGCTATTTCTTTTTCAAACAGATACCCCTTTGCCTGAAGATTAATCTGAAAAAAATGCTACTTGATCGCAAAAAACAATTTTTTCTACCTTAAAAAAAAAAACAAGAAATTGTGGCAACCTCAGTCGATCAGCCATCGATCAACCACCTAAGAACTCACCCATGCGCACGCGTTTAATCGATTTAATCGCACCTCTAAGAGTTTCGATAAATGAAGACCTGTCTCGTATCAATTTCCATCACGTTTTCCGCATAATTTTATTATTACCCGTACCCTTACTGGTTACAATCGTTGAACAGCTGAAATTTAGGGGAAGCGTGAAAGCGTAAGTGCAGCCAAAGCGCACGTAACATTAGAATTTGGAAAATCTTTCCATGTCACTTCGAAGTCTCGCCTGTGAAAAGTAATATTCTTTATGATAAATTGCATGTTGAGGTATGATAGCATGAATACTTTTTTTTAATCAAAATGCAATTTTATCAGTTTTATTTTTTATTTTCGTTTTAACAATTCTCTATAGTGACATCACATGCTGGCTTTAGATATCATGGAACGACCTCATCCATCATCGTAGCTGTTCATAGACTTTTAAATTACTCCTGAACGGCGGCTTTGCCTTGTGGCGAGGCTTCCCCTCATGATTTTAACAGCAGAGTGAAAAGTAGCCGCTATCGAGATCAGGTTTCCCTAACTCGTTAAAATAATAGATTGGAGGGGAATGAGTGGTTCGAGACTGCTTTTGTCTGTATTTACTGCGCAATATGACTAGTCCTTAACTCTGGCTTTAATTTTTCATTAAGGTATCACTGCTGAATCAAACATTAGGCTCATGAGGATGAAGAAAATAATCGCAAACTTGAAAAGCTATTCATTTTTTAACGAAATAATCCTTGTCAGTGCCATAGCAAATGTAGAAGGAATAGTATGGAGAATGCTGATGTTAGGGTGTTGGAGTTAAATCTCGCACTATCCTCTTATAATCAATCAGTCAGTTACCAAAATATCTTAAGTTCTGATTGGCTCCATGTTAAGTCCTTCTTTCCTCCGATTGGCCCTTGTAATAACTCTGGTATTGGTGTTACGACATTCAATCTAAAAGTGCCAGAAAAGTCTTGTGAAATTGAGAGCAGAATATCACATATCACAGTAATTCTCCGCTTGAAATAAATCACACGAAGGCATAAGATATGCAAAAAAAGGCAGAAATTTGAAAGGCTTATTCTAATCTTTTTTGGTAGAGTCAAATTTCGAGCAGAACTGAAGTAATTTGTCATTCCACTAAAAGAAAAGGAACCGATCTAGTGTCAATATGGCTGCATTTCCCAATACCTTCACTTAAATGAATTCCTCTTTTTTGTACTGGTGGCCCGTTTGGTCACATCTGAAACAGGGCTACACACCTATTTAAAGGGGTAAACACCTCTTTGTTTATGCCACGTCAGTTCTGACGCCAACTATTCCTGACCTACCTTTCTTTCATTTGAAATATTATTTAGTGTATTCTGAAGAGTGTAAAATGATAAAACCTAAACTGACTTGTTGGGATGCTCAGATGTTATTAATCGAAAGCGCATCTGCCTCGCTAGTCGTTGAATACTTATGATCTTTGTATACGACCAATGACACTTAAAGATGGCCAAAGATTTTACCAGTACTACTCGCACTATCTCGAATGTTGCCTTGTTTTTAAGTGGCCATTGCCGTGTGCAGTGAGTTCCTTGAAGTTTAATATAATTTATGTCCGAGCATCTCTAGAACAAGAGAACTACAGGGTAAGCAGCAACTGACATGAATGATTTTTCACTGAATCTACGCTGTGAGGTGCAAGTTCCCGCCTCGTGCTAAAGTGCGCTTGCTTGCTGCATTTGGCGTAAGGTTTCCCGTTTTCACAAAATCAGTAGGAATTTGAGAAAAAAGTAGCAAACTTTTCGTTAGAGTGAAATGCAAAACTCTGCTTCAGGAAAAAAAAAGCTTTTAATTAGACCTTTTGAAAGCAGTAGGTTGATGGTAATGTTAACCCCGTTTGGCGCCAGATCCATTTTTCGCCGAGTAAAATACCTCAAGCAAGGCGTTTCTCAGAAGTGTGAAACATTAAAGAGGTGTAAATCAGTGAAAATGAAGCATTTTATGTCATCTGTTCGGGATATACTTGGGCGTTACTTTAGCGAGATTACAAATGGCAGAAGCAAAACAACAGAGTGAAATAAAAAAAAAAAAAGTGCCAGATAATTCATAAGCATTCACTGAACTCCAAAAGGAGTTCGTTTGAAAACGCGACCGGGGAATACAACATTCGTTATTGACAGAGCCAACAAAATCAGCCTATAATTACGTATTGGATAGCAAAAGCAATGATTAACTGACAAACGAATACAGACCTCAAACTCTAACCTGCCATTCGTGGGTGAAAGTTTCATTTGAATTTTTGCCAGTTGCATTTGTCTGTAAGATTATAGTTTGACTTTTTATCTTGTTCAAAAACTAGTAAAGGAATTTCAACAGGAGTCTCTTGAAAACTTACCGTAACTTTCCGTCGTGCAACTCAACCAACGTTTGCGGACTGACGCCATTTTGAATCATCAGCAACACCATTTCTGAATGTTTTGTTGTTCGAAACCACATCTCAACTTCGTACCTCTCCACATGCTCTTCAGCAAAGTTTGTGTGAAAAACCTGAAATCCTTTGCCGTTGAAGCTTAGATCACCTTGCAGACTAGTCACAGTTAGAGACAGCGACAGCAGTAGAAATAATTCACGAGCATCCATTTCCAGGTTCAGTTCGAGCTATTCGCTGAAAATTAAAGTCCTTTAAGTTCAGTGATATTTATATCAAGTAAAAATCCTACAGTTAGAGCTCGTAATCGGACCGATAATTTTGTTTGCTGATTAACCTTTAAAGTTGTATTTCCTTGTCGCGTTTTCAAACGGAGACTTTTCATCAGTTACACAAATATTGGTGCGTCTGAGATGGTCGCCACTTTTCAACTACAATAAATCGTCTTAATTCTGGACAATTGAGCAAATGATCGCCTTTCCAACGGAAATAACTGGAACGTGTTAACGAACCCTGACAAGAACATTTATTCAGTGCTGCAAAGACAAACACTTCAATCAGATCGTTCCATTTTTAAGTTTTTTCTTTCGATGAAAAAAATGATTATGTCTTTCAAGGTGCAAGGTGTTGCTTCAATGCAAGCGATCTTTTAGAACCGTTGAAAGAACTTTAGTCACATCTTCAGGGAGCTGTCGTCGTTTTCTTCGGAGGACATTCATTTTGTGTCTCGACGATCGATCTTCAATTATTTTAAGAATTGTTAATAAGGTCAAATGAATAAGGTGGTAAAGAAATCTTCCTTATTAAAAATACAAACACTAGCACCAGCTGCTACTGATCAAAGCCTTTTGTAGCATGTTAGAGTCTTATACCATAGTGCTCCTGATTTTTTAACGTCCGCGTGGGTGAAGCGAGGTGAATGTGGTAAATGATGTTCAAAACGGTGGAATATTGACTCTGCGTCTCGAGCCATAGAGCAGATCTACATGGCAACAAAAATGAGTTGGGTTTGCAGAATTTGACTGCGCTAGCGCTTCATAAACCGTTTGTTACTGATGGGCAGCACATTTCAATACAGACCAATTATTATTCTCAATTTTTTTCAATCACTGTTATAATCTTTACGTTTAGTTTATTGAAGAAATACGCAACTCGCCGAAGTACCTCAACAACGAAATTTCTCTCAGAGATAACAAAGGCAAAATTCTAAAAGAGAAGGAGAAAAAACTAATGAGTTAAATTTTTTTCTAAGAGGCGGTGTTAATTAAACAAGGTAGGATATTTAAAATAGGGTTAATGAAACAGGGTTAGAGAAGGAAGTCACGAGTGGTTTTTAAGTCTCTTTTAAGGTAATATTGATTCACACATGAAACCAATGTTTAGCTTGAAAGGAAAGTGTAAGCGGAGATCCTTAGCAATTCCATTATTATTCTAGAAAGTTTCAAGCTAATAAAATTGAACTTATTTTTAACCGGCCGGTTTAAAATCTCTTAAGCAGTTCCTTCCTTAATTTTTTCTTTTTCAGAAAAGATCGACGAAACCTTTGCTTTTCATGGATAGAATTCTAATCCTTCTTTAATTTTAACTTAACTTTCCTTACCGCGCAAAAATTGTATACTCAATTTTAAGATTTTTTTCAAAGAAATGAGAACACTGATACATTGAGCTTGTTGTTAGTGACTGCTTAATCCAGGCCTCTTCGGTCACCTTTTTTTACCAAATCAATCACTTGTATGCATAAATTTTGGATCACAATGAAATTTGAATGCCGAGTTGTAGCAAAATTTTTGAGATATATAGAGTAAAATAAGCACTGAAATAACGGAATCATCGGAAATTAGAGGAGCAAAAATCCAAGAAAGGACTTTCTATAATTACAAAACACTCATAGGTTTCAAATATCATGCAACTTTGGTTTTTATTATTGTTAGTTAAATTCACTTCAAACGAAATTTTGGTTGGTAACTTCTTTAACGAACATTTTCTCCAATAGACTGGCGACTTACATTACTTTTTAACAACATAGGTGTTTTTCTTTCTAGTTTATAAATAATCTTGCCTTTTTATAGACTATTTTATTAAAATTTACTTTATTGTATATTTACCAGTTTGATAGACTTATTTACATCCTTTTTGAAAAATTAAATCTAGGGTGCGTTGATAATAGCACTAAAAAAATGCTAACTTAATGTCTGATACTGTTTAACAAACTAAGATGTAAATAGTCGAACATCTAGACTAGAATTCTCCGGGCTATTCAGCATTGTTATAAAAGCTATAGTTCGGTCTCATATTTTTGTGCATGCACTTGCTTCGACGAATTTATTCTGCGCTCTTTGGTTTGGCCGTTTTCAGGCTGCTTTTTGCAAGCTGATGCGTTCTGCTGCTGATGTGGTTGCCGGTAAAAGCTATTTGAAAAGCCGCTATGGTGCCTTTGAATGTTTTCGCGGAAGCGATCGCTTACTATCTCCTGCGTTTCATTTGCTTGCTTTGAGGGAAGTAGCGCTTCCTCTTCACTTTTTTGGCGGGAAAATAAGCGCGAACGCGGCGAACTGTGCTTTCGTTTATCATCCCTATGAAATATCACTTCATTTCCTCCTCCGTCGCAAGAGGCAGGACGATAATTTTCATTCCCCGCGCAAGGAGACATAATATCTATTTCAGTGGGAATCTCTTCTTTGTAATCGTAGCCACTCAAAGCTGAACTTAAAGGCTGCGCCTCGAGAGTATCGTCCTCAAGGTTGTCTACGTCCAAAGATAGATAATTGTCATGTGGATCGGACGATATCCAGTTGTTTCGGCTTATTCCTCTTTCTCGTGATGGCTTATAAATCTCGATAGTGTGTTCCTTAGAAGATTCATTGCACTCATCACGACTGCAAGGAGTTCCCTTATCGCATGGATAGTTTTCTGCACACTGATCTCCATTAAAGAGTTCTTGATCTGAGCTTAACTCTGAAACTGTAGCAGTAGAATCATTGTCCGAATCCAGCAACTGTTCATTTGCGGGCAGATGCGATTGAGAAAACTCAAAACTTGATTCACGAAGGTCTACGTCTTTTGGCTTAATAGGGCTTAAGGGATTTTCCTTTCTGTCGCTATGATTAGCTCTGACGTCTGACGCAGACAGAACGTCTAAAATGACCTCCGTAAGCTTTTTGAATTTCTCTTCTGTGCTAAGCTGCTTTCTGGAGGTAAGGCTTGGAACAAAGTCAATGACCCCGAGGTCGATATCTTCGTATTCAATGTTTTTCTCGGGCTTATCTTTTTCAACATCGGCATTTTCCGAAATCCCCGAACAGCTTCCGTTGCTGATGTCAAGTCTGTCAGTCTCAGCATCACTGTACAGTTCTGGAGATGACATTTCATGACAGTCATGAGATGATCCAATATCATAATTTCTCGTTTGATAGGGACTTGTCTCAAACTGTTGAATCGGCTCCGGTTCTGTCTCAGCGTAGGTAGGACTTGGTGGGCCAAGCTCTATAACATCCATATGGCGCACATCGTGGTACAGAGGTGCTTTTAAGCACTTGCACTTGCAAGGTAAAAATAAATTTTGTTTGACGAGAAGCACAACAATAGCAATCACAAAAATGGCAAGTATAACACTCAGAATAATTAGCACGAGTTCCTGATTGGCGTTTTCTCGGATTGTTATATACTTTTTTGGAGTTTCGATAACCACAATGTCAACTTTGTCATTAGTTGGTTCGGGAGTGGCAGGACTGTTCACTTCTAAGGCGCTGGTGGATGCTGTGGAGGAAAACACTTCTTCTCCTAACGGTGCTCTCGAGGTGCTTATTCCATCTTCTTTTGAAAGGAGAGGCTTGTAGGCGGTGGAAGAAATGGTGCTTGGAGACTTTGTTAGACTTTTAGTGGATGGTTGTGGTGTACCTAGAGTGTCACTAACAGGAACGATAGTAGTTGTTGTCCTCTTGGTTGTCGACCCGTAACATTCAAGACTACCAAGTACGTACCGAGATTTCACGTTGGTTCCATCAACACTAAATATTAAGGATTTGACGGGAAGGCTCGTTACATTTGTCAAATACCCGCCATCGTCGTGCCATTTATTGTCAAGAGTATCGCAGTTACAGGCTTTAGAACGTTCTACACAAGTTTGATTCATACCGCACGCGCACTTCATACTCCCGTGCGCGGCACCCGACCAGTAATCTTGTAATTTTCCGTCACGTGACACCCATCTTGCCCCACGACCAGACTGGAGATTAAACTTTTTAGGCGAGTCAAAAAGGACTGAGTTGTAGCAATGGTATGCTAGGTATTGTCTGCAATGAGTGCTACTTGTTATAAGATAATTTATGTTCCTAATGTTAGTAGTTGCGTATTTGATGACGTGACGGTATTTTCCGCCAGTTTTATATTGAGCAGCTTTAACACGAACTCTGTCTTGAGTGTGAAAAATTACAGTTGAAGGCCCTTCTATGTTCGTCATATTACAATAAACGGAAAAAGGTTTTAAATGACGAGGATTTATCCTATAGTATCCATTACTTCTCTTCCCAGCTTTCCACCAATCAGCGCATGTCTGCATGAAGAAGGAAGGTGTCTCGCATTTTGGACCCTTAAAGTCAGTAGCCGCGCAATGACAAATTGTTTTGTTCCTGGCCTGGGAGCATCTTCCACCATTCCGACATGGATTAGGTATACACAGGTCTAACAAAGAACACTTTTTCATGTCTTTCTCCCCTATCTGGGATTTGTATTCATCTGTCCAGTTGAGTTTCTGTCCTTGCACCATGAAATCGCGCATACATCCTACAAAGCCGAACTTGCCTTGATTATCTGCTCCGACAAAGACTTCGGAGCTGCTTAAAAATGTTCCTTGCGAACTCCCGCTTCGGGAAGACGCGAAGTCAGAGTCAACCTGCAGACTTACTCGTCGTATGCTGATATCAACAGAAACAGAATGCCACATTCCGTCGTCAAGATTAGCACCACCATGAAGAATGACGGGAGATTCTTTCTTTGCAAATGTCACACGTAGCTTAATGCTACCACCAGTTAGAGAGACGTTAATCTTAGCACCATTTGCTTTCGTTATCCTCTCAAATAATAAAATCCCTTCGCCATCATGAGTGCGGAACTTTACACTGTACTTGACAGCGTCTACACTGGGAACATCGATCTTCATGAAGGACTCAGGTTTTTTAAAAGTAACTGGGTCATACTCCTCCGTTGTATCATTGCAGTCTGGCAAAGTTCCGTTTCCTACTCTCGTGAAATTATGCAGCATTAGGTCGTCTACAGTCACATGTTCGTCTTGGAGACAACCCTCAAAGGGAACAAAATCACGGTCGCTTAAAAGTAGGTGCCTTGACTTTATCCTATCAACGTCAACACCGCCCAGGTAAATCGTCTGATCTGCAAAAGTCCTGGAGTGAAATCCAGGGACTTTGATCTCTTCTTTTGAGGCGTCAACGTAAAGGATCCACGAATTAGTTGTCTGTTTCGTCCAATCCACTTGATGCCATTCGTTATTCGCCATATCAACGACTTTTTCAAAATACTTACTAGAAACTATTCCAGTAGTCATATTCTGCATACTCCCGTCAGACATCGAATACCTATCAAGTGGGAAAAGGACAATTGAATCAACTGAGACAAAATTATTTACGAATCAAAATAACTATCATCAATCACATCGTCATCATCTCAGTTTTCTCAGAAGAATCCATAAGATTTTGACCTCAAAAATAAACAAAACACACCATTATTAATATTAGTAAGAATCGCTAAGGCGATTTTTGGAGCCACCACCTGTTAAAAGCGTGGTGAAAATACCGGTATTGTTGATTGCAAATTTGTTCTAGTGCCTGTAGATCCATATCCTATTAAATTAGATCTGAACAGTGATATCATTAGACCAGAGATGCACATAAGACCAAAAATATCATTTTTATCGTCATGTTAGGGAGGTACAAATTCTTATATAATTCCACCAATAAAAGCGAATCTTGAAAATTCTGAAACAACTTAGGAAATTGATGCATTCATATCGTACCCAGTTTTCGAGAATGTTATATAAAAAATTGAATCAAATTTTGATCGAGTATAGGCAGTCTTTTTCAAAAAATGTTCACCTGGATTATTGTTTGAGATCGCTACCGATGTAACAGAAATTTTTAGGTTAGGTCAGAAAAACTAGGTGGCACTGCGTTTAATGTTTTGAACATGAATAATATATTTGTATGTCTCAATAAAATTTAATATGATTAACTGAAAGTTTAAAGACAACACGTCTCTCTATGAACTCTAGAGGTTTCTAGAATCTTACAAATCTACTTGATTGAACTGATAACTTATGCAAAGTTAGGAAAATCCTGCGTAATTCCTCTGTATACAGCTTGAAAACTGCTTTGGAGGCCAAAATATCCATCAGATAACACTAAACAACATAATTCCATTGAGCAAAATTTCCCTCAAAGACACAATTCATTGTAGACTTCATTCCACGGAAAGAAGAAAAACTTTCAGTAACGGGAGGTGACACTCGAAATTCGGTTTGTTTTCAATTTAAAACATGCATTAGTACAGAGCATACTGGTCGACCTTAGAGTAAAAGAATACCCAAGGATTTTGTCAACGGTGGCGCCGATTTAACTCTCAGTTCGCGATGATTTGTTATAAATTAAGTGTTACGAGCTGCGATTAGCACTCACTGCTTTTAAAAACAGACTTTATAAAATAGTTATCTTTGATTGTAGCATTGTCTTGTGACTTACATTAAGAAAACAGGACAGTCGACATAAATATTTTATGATGTACTAACTGAACTGCGTCTGCGTATACCTAAGTTATTGCAGGTGCAGCCAGAGTGGCTTTCTTCGAGTACACACAATTCATCTCTCTTTGTAATTACCCTCCTGGTGAAACAGTTTCTGTCATAATGTTGAAATGACGACTGTAATAGTTTGTAGCTACTTACATGAGGGGTTTATAGGTTTAGAAAAGAGTACATAGAAAAAGTAACGGATCGACGTAAAAAATCTGGATAAACGTGAATAACTCACAGCAGGGATCCCTGACACAGAAGCCACAAAAAACAAATTACCGAGACTTACCAGTGAGACGTTTTTTGATTTTACAGCTTACAAACTGACGTAAATAAAGTAAACGGAAATATAGAAAATCAAATGAAATTCGATTCCATGACGAACTAATCAAAAGTAATGAAAATAAATTCTTTCCGGCAAAACCGTAAAACACTATCAGTCGATCCGGGCCACTCTTCTTTATAAAAATTTCACGACCGATGTTGTATGAATTTGATGTAAAACAAGCTTACATTTCAAACCTTCCAACAAACAAAGGATGATCAGTCTGTCTTTATTAACTACTTGGATTTTATGTACAAGCGTTTTTATTCTTTTGCCATGGATTGATGCACGCCATGCAGGGTTTCTTAATCCTCTCTTTCAACCAAAGACTGCTCGCCTTTGATAAGGCGGAGTAATGAAATTTTCAACTAAATATTTTATCCCTATTTTATCAGAATAATTTCATTTTCTTTTTACAATTTCCCAGCGTGGGCCTGCACAAATTCGACCAAATATTACCAATAATTATTACGTGCATAAAATGAAGTCTCCTGCTTATAAAAAAGATAAACGGATAGCCTTGTTTTATAAGTAGCCTTGGAAGTTTACTCCGCTCTTAACCTAAGCGCGTTGAATAAAACACTTATGCGCCTGTGCCAAGTTTAGGTTAGGCTCCCTATTGAACAGTTTCCAAAGACATTTGACGAATGTCGCTCTTGCTTTAAAAAAAATAATCAACATCCCACTTCACCGAGAGAACAGACCAAGATGTTAACTTAGATAAGTGGAAACTACCTAACAGGCTTACATACCTGATTTTTCCACGCAGGAGCTCAAGGGTTATGAAGTCGTCTCCGCCGCTGGTCGCGTGTAAAAGTATTCCAGAAGGTTTGATCGTTCGGAACACGAGACGGATGTCGTTTGGAAGAGTTCGCTGCTCTCCTTTGTAGGAATACGTGACATATGTTGATCCGTCGAACCTCGTGTATCTTTCACCATGTCCGTACGATGTAATCAGAGCCAGAAATAACAAACAGAGTGTTGCGACCGTAAACATTTTGCGTGGGTGCCCTTTCCAAACGTCCAACCCGATTCTTTTTTGCTCTTCAAATCAACATTAACAACAGCTGCCATCCGTGTCTAAAGCTTGACCGAGCTCATTGCCTCCTCTGCGCTGGTCTCCTTATTTATACCATTGACCAGCCTTTCGTATATCGCTAAACAATGTTGGTGAATAATGAGACTCCTTTGATCGCTACGCCCGAGCCAGCATGTCCCCGGGCTGCGAAAAATAAAGAGAAAAAATAAAGAAATTATAAAGCGCAGCTATAACAAAGCATATTGTACGTTTAATCTCACCCAGTTACAAAGAGGAGAACACTATTCCATTTGTCCATTTCAAAATTAATTATCCCAGTTAGCCGGTTTATTGATCTATGCAAAAAGCTCAGGCAGCGCTGAGAGGCATTGACAATTACCGTTTTCACTGGGGCCATGCTGAAACGGCGAGTTTGCCGCTGTAAGGGAATGCAGCACAAGAGCACAATAATAGATTTCACGTCTGATAACTCCTCTTTTGGATATTTTATCCAACTTTCTCTTGAGCTGACGTTTCGCGTATGAATAATTACTAAATCAATTGGACAGAAGGACAGAAGTTGTGGGCATCCTCGATGCTAATTGGACTAGAATGCCCAGTAATTGTCACATTCGAAACAAGTATGTGTTTTTTGATACTTGCGTATCCGTTCAAATTCTTGACAAGGCGACCTAATATCTGGTTTGTGACAGCGCAAGAAAATATTGAAACAAGTCATCAAACAAGGCGAAGCGATTCAGTTGGAAAATACTTTTTTCCGCTCTTGATTTTCCTAATTGCCGTCCAGTCTGTAGTGGTTGTTATTAATTTTTCAGGGTATGCGGAGGGGAAACGATTCGCAGCCTCTATATTCAGAGCATAAAGTTGGATTAAACAACGAAACAGAGTGAAACAAACAGGACATTTTTGCCGGAGATGGAAGAAAGGCGAATTTCCATAGTTACAACTTCTTATATTTGTCCGAAAAAACTTACGAACTCGGGAACGATTATTTACTGGCGTTCTCCGTGAGATTAATTAAAATGATTCCTATTTCTCACTCGTTACAAAGCATTATATCAAAGGAAAGTGGTCGAAATGTAAAACGGCTGTTTTCATCGATAAAAATTTCATAAAACAAAAAGCTTTAGTAATGACTGAATATTCGCGCTGTAAGGAGAGATACGAGAGTTTTCGATATCTCCAGTTTATTCTTTGAAAATTGTCGCCCGTGATATTAGTTTCTCTGCAACGTTTGTCTAGTTATGAAGTAACCCACTGTGTGCAGACCAGATAATTTAAAACAAATTCACATTTCCACGGACAGGTGACAGATCTACTTCAATATTTTGACATTCTTGTTTCATCTACTCTCAGTAATTAAGAAACTACATTTATTTACGCAAGCGATTCATGGCCTGCCAATTAAATCGTGTTTAGGACATTTTGAAACAAAAGGTTAATAACCCATCTCTGTCAGCGTAATAACATTATTCAATAAAAACTCGCGCTTAATTGTCTTGTCATTCTTTATTTGATTTATACTCGTCTCAATGGAAAATTTACTTTTCGGGGAAATTGTCATGAAATTGCACTCGGCGTTTCGGATAGCGATCAGCTGCTAATAAGCTACACCTTCAGTAATGGACACTACATGAATTGAGGTTCGTGTTAGTTTGGCCACAAACTGTCCCAACATTAAAAATTTATTTACCACCACGTGGTACATCAAACCTGCGAAATATGCTGGTATGTGGTCGGGAAAGCAATGTTTGAAGCAAAAGAACGCCGGACAATAAGGATAAAAGAGGATTATGTACGAATTATTTTGTGTTTAGTTTTACGGCCACGTGCCGCATATTAGACTTGTTATTATTGATCGTTCGAGGGCTTTCTTGTTTGAAGAGGCCGTTGTTGCCTAAAAACAATAAAAGAAAGTAGAAATTCTGGTTCTTTCAACCTTGAAAAAAAAACCTGCAACCCTACTTTCTTTCTCGGAGAACCACAGACGCCATCGTGGAGAAAAAAGAACAAACAGTTTTGCAAACTGCAAACTAGAAACTAGTAGATTTTTACGGTTGAGCTATAATTTTGAACAGCCAATTTGCCATGTTGGTACTTAGCGCGACTAACAAGCTTAAAAGTTTGGGTTTTCATTCGATTAAAATTCCATTGCTACTAAGAATTCAAAAAAGATGACTCGCTACTATTTTTCAAGTAGTTTGGGGTGTGGAAATTGCTGAAGAACTGTTATGGCATGGTTATATGCAAAAACAAATACAATTCTTGTAGAGACTCTTCTTAGTTTACATAGTAATTCGGCATTTCCTAGGAGAATGATCATCATGAGAACTTTTAATTTTTCTTTCATTCTTTAACTCTGTATTTATTATTATTTCTCGTACGGTTTGGAATATAGTCAGTACTCGTTGTTCATAAGCTTCGCCAGGTTAACTGACCAAAAACCCTGCATAAGTCACAATAACTCTCAAAGAAGTTTTCGACAATTACGTATCTTTGATGGGCATAAAAATACCAAATTTCCTCTTTCCTATCCAACATTTCACCCCTCCATAAAACTAACTTGGTAATCGTGCAGGAATAAGCGTATTTAATACTCGGAAACACACGAGCTCTTAAGATAAGAAAGAACAATAACCAATAAAAGTAAAATATATACAAAAAGTATTCAGTTGTTTGTGGTCAAATGACCTCCCACATGGAAACATATAAATTTGAAAGACTTTATTGCTTGCTGTTTGGATATAACTTTAAACTTATTTCCCGGAGGAAGATTGTTTATCAGCTACTTTTAATTTGCGTAATGATAATAATATTTAAACGTTTTTCGTTATACTCAGGAGTTCAGAATGGCGAAAGACTTTTCAAACAGCTCCATTTCACCGAAATTTAATTAACCGCCTCATAGTAATGCTCAAAATTTGAATAAAGTTAAAAGATATGAAGAATACTTAGAAATGCGATAAAAACAGGACATGGAGACCTAATTCAATGGCTGGTACCACATGGTGTGAAGAGTCGTCCCTCGCGTGCCCAATAGAACTAAACGTGATAACTGTACAACAACTGTTTGGTGAGCGAACAAAAATATTTGAAGAACTGTCAGATAAATGAATGTTTTGTTATTCATATTCGTGTAATAAATAACGCCTCTTTGGCAGAAGTCTTTTACAAGAAGCCAATACCAAACTTGTATCTGCGAGGAAAATATCAGACTGCGTAGGCAAAGTAGAAAAAGCTAAAAAATCAATATGGTGTACTCTCCGGGGTGTTCTGGATTGAATTTAAATATGAGAGATAACCAAAATTTTTAGAATTTGCAGCCTCTAAATGCATTTAAAACGCTTGATGAAACCAAGCATTTTCGGTTATTCAACGACATTTAGTTTGAAGAGCCTTCAATGAATGGTTAGACGTGCTGATTTATTTGAGTTTGCTCGGTTTTCACTCCACGCGCAGAGCAGTGATGGCGAATTCCTTCGAAGATTGATTAAGTCACCTGTAGCAATAACATTTCAACTAGCTTAACAATTTTCAGACGTCAGATGTATTTTTGAGAAAAACTGGCTTCGAATATACGGTCTCAGTTTGCCAAGATATTTACCGAGCAGTTACATGCAAAATATTTTGGCGCACTTTACGAGAAACGAATCAGTTTTAGTCTAATTTCGAACATATAAAAAAGTTCAATGGTAACAGAGGGATAGCGAACAAAATTATCAATAAACCGTTTATGAACCACTGTTGGGCACGTTTGACGTTAAAGCAAACCTTTGACTGGTGTACTGCCCTTTATTGGACCTTTCAAAACAGTGAAATTAAATATTTCTTAAACCTGAACAATATGACAAAGTTAATAAAAAACAAAGAGATACAGAATCTTCAAAGTGTAAAACCCATGCGTACCACAATGTGAAAGCAGTTAGACAAAGGCTCACAGAGAATAGAAATTGAAAACACCTGTTTTGGGGGCAGTACATCAGAATTCACGTTATGACTCACCCTTTCATATGCCTCGCTTCTTTCAAGGTCAGATAAAGTTCAAAGAATCTTAGTGTTACATTTTGAACACGTAGCAGAAGCTTGTTACAGTGCTTCTTTACAATTACTATAAACGCACAGGGCGACGGAGTGTCTTCAAGCCCAATTAAAGACAATTAAGTAGCTCATCGTTTACTAATGATTTTTTTTCTGTGGTCAGCTGCTCTGGAGAAACTAGGGCCAAGTTCGCAAAAAGGGGCGGATCTATATTGATATCAGATGGTGAGATCCAAGTGTAATTCCTTACCTATCAAATTGTTAATCGGGAAATTAAGCACGTTTGCTCGGTTGTTCAACGAGAACTTGCTGTTTTCGTCAATGGGGCTGCTAGACGGAGTGTATGATATACTCCGTTTTTACATCATCGAACTTTTAATTTCCAGAGGAGGGTAAAGAAAATTTTTGCCGAGATTTCTCGAAAAGAGTCTTGATTATTTCGCAGACAAAACATGAAAACAAGAAATGGCTGTTGAACTTTAATCTACAAACCTCTAAAGTCTCCATGCCAGTTTCGCCCCGGAAACTTCTCAAAGGAAATCTTGAAGGTTGAAGTCGATCAAAATTTGTAACTTTTCTGACCTTTGTCTTGACAGCTATCGAAGTGCGTATTCATTAGAATCTTTAATCATTTCTTGAACTCTCAGAAACATAAGTTTAGTTTTTTCAAATGTTTGCCTTGATCTAACGTCCTCTATGTGTGGGCGCTGGTTCAATAAGTACTTATTAGAATGTCAGGTCTAGTTTTTGACTCTGCAATAAATATAGACCAAAGAATGAGACTAGAATCCGCGGATTTGTCTGGAGCTGAACTAAACTAGCAATAGGATAATTTGGTTTTATCAACTGCGTCGATGAAAGGGAACTGTAGAGAGTTCTAAAGCTGACGTTTCGAGTGTTAGGCTTTCGTCAGAGCGAAT